ATATAAATTTTTATTGATTAGGTGAAAAAAATACTGAGCTATAAAAAATGCCATGGATTACCAAACCAAAAATTGTGCAAACAACAAGAATAAAAACTGTAATCTTGAAATAAACTTATGAAAAGTCTGTCTGGAAGGGAGAACTAAAAGAGAAGAAAATCAAATTTCAGCCACACATTGCATAAATACCCATGTTAGAGGGGGGGGGGGGGGGAGAACAGAACCACTTTAAGAAAATATCAAACATCTTGTAAAATGAGATGAAAGTCTTCATATTCCACACAAACTTTGATAGGGTTGATGAGAGCCTTTTTACAGAAAGAATTGGAAGAGAGATGAAACCCAAGTTAAGAAACCTCAGTCTTCCTGTAGTATGAGATAATAGCAAAACAGAAGACAGGTGCCTGCACAGCAACACACTGTCTCCTACCTGGCTTCAATTTCAAACATCAAAGGCAACGTGAACACAAAGAAAAATGTGTGCTGTTCTCAGTGAAATATTCTCCAGTGTACAACTCATTCACTTCTTATCAAACATTAATGAGCTAGTATTGACTAGAATGGGGAACATTTTCCTCAATTGAGGGCTGTTTACACTAAGACCAGTGGTGGTGACATTGAATTCCTTGTAAATATTGGTTTTCATCTAGCATGCCTTGTCCTCCGATAGCCTGATGTGCCTGTCGTAATTGTACACATGTACTCAAAGACCCTGTTTTTAAAACTGCTCGTCTATCCCTTTTCAATCAATATAATTATAAATACCGTATGACCGAGTCTTTCCCATCCACGCATCATGTAAATGTAAATGTGATTGAAATGTGCTAAAAGGAATAAAAACATCTGGTGCATTTTAATGTTCAAAGGCAAAGATGTGCCTTGATCCCACAGGACTACAGCTTGCACACAAACCTGGTACCCAATTGTCTTTTCTACGAAACATCCTCAAAGGTAACACTTTCTCCACCAGCACTTATTTCTGGTCTCTTTAATCTATTAAGTCATCATATTTCATCATATAGACTGTCTGGGCCAATTGGACGGATTCTACTGAATTCTCAAGACAAGGGTGTATGGCTTTGCGCCTCTATTCAACCAGCTAACCTCAATGCACATAGAGGTGCGTTTGTGGTGTCGATTTTCGTCTGATAATGCCAGAGCTTTTTGTGCGCAGATCTCTGTGACAGATTATTCATGAAAAAGGGGACAATGATGGTTAAACTACTTCAGTTAAAGCTTAATTCTTTGACATCTTGTTAAAAAACATGCAGATCATGCAATCCACATCTTCAAGTTTTTCTTAATATCCAGCCCTTTACTTTATTGAACAATCCTTTGTGTGTCTCTTCCCCCCCCCCCCCTCCTGTGCATTTTTTACTTAATCAATATGTCATTTCCTTCACTAAAGAAGATCACTTCTTGCATCAAATGCTATGCAACAAGCAATTCATATGAAACTAATTCAAGCATGGATATCCAAAATGTGAGCCATTTCAAAGAGTTCCAGATTGGAAGTTACCACCACAAAGCTACAGGTTTATAAGGAGCAGATTCTTTTTCCCCATATTTTTTCACGATAACAAGTACCTCTACCCAAGTTGCCACCTGTATCTGATTAAGCTGCTGTTGATAGTAAGTAGATCCATCGGGGCACTTGCTGAATACATTTACAGCTACTTGGAGGACTTGTAGCAGCCAATTTAATCATGAATTTGTGGAGTGCAAGCTATGCAGACCTTATCTCGACTCCAACTCACAAGTGAGATTTACACGAAATCTTAAAAATCTATCTCGATCAACATAAAAAACATTTTCATTCTTTCCTCACGTCTTTTAAATAACTGACAGCAGCATGTGTCTGAAAATGGGGTTAACTTGAATTCATCAACCCCAGCCTTCAAAACTTCCCTCTAACAAGCAAATTATCTCATTACCACCACCAGACTTCTTAAAAGTCTACAAGAGCTGCTGCCGGCAAAAAATTCCCTCTCTCAATTTGAAATCCGACTCCAAAAGGTCAGCTTTACGCCTGCAAGCAGTTTGTTGAGTGTTCATCGAATCCTGCCCCACTCACCCATGTGTGCTTCCGCCTCTTTATTCTTAGGCTTTTTTTAATCAAAAGTGGACATTCTATAATAAACTTGAAGGGATAAGTGATGCTGCTTGGTGTCTAAGTAGCACAGGCATGAAAACATAAAACTGTGCTTGTGGGGATATTCTGGGACACATATTCTTTGACATACATTCTGATCCAAAACGAAAGAATGTTGAATATAGCATTTTCAAATTATGAAAAAAAAAAAAACTTCAATCAAACTTGTTAAAAGGGTCTATGAGGAATTCTCTTTTCCCACAGATCACACAAGAGCTCCCTCTTTCCCTACTGAAGTGTTTCCTCTTCAAATGCTCATTACATTTCAATAACAATGACCCCATGGCCTCCGCCTCACTCCACTCTGTGGAGAACACACTGGAGGATACTATTTACTTCCCAATGGAAGCCTTCCACACACCTGAGTCCCAGTGACAATATTAATCTATCATTCATTAACTTTTCATTAAAGAACAAATGTTCAAATAAAACATCCACTATCCTTTGTGCCTGATGGCTTGGTGGAAACATTTTCAACAACTCTTAACAATTATGCAACATACTTTGAGAGAGACGTATTTTTTTGAGAGAGCTTGCAAAAAAATAGTAACATTTTGTCTGCCAGTCAATAGGAGTAGTCTCAATTTTTACTCACTTTTTTTACTCTCAATGAGACAGTAGTGAGTACACATTGCTGTAATGTGCATTTAATTTTAAAAGCACTTATTTCAACTTTGTCTGAGAAAAAAGTCTAGGGGATATATCAAGTGAAATCAAATCAGACTCCACCTGCCCTGTTGGATCATTTTTCAGCCATTGTTACCAGGTTAGGCCAAGGTTTAGAAAGTAATTATCATTGTAATGCCATGAACTCCTACAATGTTGTTCAGCCTCAATATTTCCAAAAATTCACAATCACTTTCATGAACAGAATTTTTCAAGCAAAAATTTTGATTTTAAAATAAAAAGCACTTTAAAATTTTAAGTGGTATTTAGCAATAAGGAAATTCAAAGCTGTGGTAATTGTTCAAAACTATTCCAGGAATATGTATATATTCAACTACCTTAGTTTCCCCAGGTCTTTCTGATTTTATCTTAAACCATGTCCTGTCTGACTAACAAAAATAACATAGGGCAATAACATGGAAATTCTCAGGTTGCTTAAAACATTATTTAGGGGTAAATTTTTTACAGAGAGATTAAACAAAACAAAACAAAACAAAACAATGATGTCCAACTGAAATCAAGGGATGAGTCCCTTGCCACAGATAAGATATCATTTACAATGTAACAACATAACAATTCCCATCAATATCCACATTAAATCAATTCTGATCAGTTGAAACAACTGTAATATCATCAAGTATATACATGTGTGGCAACAACCAACTGATATACATTCTCTATCTTAATCAGATAGACTCAGTATCTTGGTTAATTTAGCCAGAAATACATGGAGTCCTCCCTCATAACACTGGTCTTATCAGTATCAAAATATGCCCATCTATGCTGACCCTGGTTCCTCATCATGAAAGTTGTGTTCTATAAGGGTCTAACTTAAAACTGCCTAGACCAACTGTAGTGACATCAGCCACACTATAAGGTTTAAGTCAGACCTGGTCCAAAGTCACCTTTAACTGCCTCATATACACTATTTACCTCCAAATCTACATAGCTCTACTGGAAGAGATGATAATACATAGTTGATTATCCTTTCAATCCCAGCATGAAGGATACTGTTTATGTGCTCTGGCTGGGACAGAACTGCTGATTCTAATCATACATGGCTTATTTTAGTCGGCCCATAAATAAGACTGCACCTCCCTGCCTTCAGATGGGCAGGCTTTTATCTATTTACACTACCCCGATGATTGGTTATTGATGATTTATGACCCAATTAAGTGAAGACATTAGGGGTTCACTAGTCCATAAAGATATATTTATGTTCCTGTAATCAGCTACGGTCCTAAGGGAAAGCCAGGATGAATATTGCTGGGGTTATGGTTCTCTATTAGATACTACATAGAATATAAAACATACAGCTGGTTTAGCAAATGAAATTATGTTTCCTTTTTTTTTCTTTCTTAATAAATATTTATCTATTTATTTTTATCATTAATTATTATTTTTGCATCAAAGTTTTCATACAGATGGAGTTAAACACTGGTGACAAAAATATTAACAACAATGTAAATCTTTATCAATACTAAAACATAATAGATCAATTTCTTTTCCACCTTTTGGTGTCTAAGTTTTACAGGGAATCCATACCTGTGGTACAAAACTAAATTAATGTGTTACAATAAGGACACATAAATTCAGTGACAATCAAAGGCAATGCACGTTATATGTGAGCTTACAAAGTTACAAAGTAGTTGTGAAAATAAACAGTGGCACACGGTAAATGATCTGACGAGTTCAATGATATTAACAATGTAATGTCAACATTTTATCTAAAAATAGATGACCAGAAGCTTTATCTGTTTTGTTTCTTTGTTCTTGAAATGACCACGACCCCTGCACGAAGTGAGTGCGAAGTACTGAATACCAGCCTACGTTGTTTGCATACATGTGGAATACGTCAATATAGATCGCAATGTGGGGTCGACCGCTCGCCTCGTCGCAATACAAGTTTGGGTCATTTCCAACATTAAATACTTCCTCTGGCAGACACTCTGATGTTTCGGTTACGATGTCTCAAAGGGATGATACTGCACGAGCCACACCGCCCTCGGACATTGCAAACGCCTTGGCCTACTCTCATTAGTGGAAACTTATAAAGGTCCCGAGAGCAGGACCAAACTTCCCAAGACATCGCTGGTTTTAGTTCGCGTGTAAGACTTGACCAATGAGTTTTTAACTGTAGTAAATAACAAATGCAATAGTCATAAAGTTTGGTGGTACTTACCAGTCTGAAGAGATGCTAATAACAAAAGTAACGCGAAGAGAAGCTGCCGAAATGACAGCCTCACTTCTCCCATCTCCGCCATCTTCGTTGCTGCTTGACTAGTGTGACGTCAGGCTGTTCTACGGAGTGCTCCCCACCCTGAACAAAAACTTGATTTTATTTTCCGACTGTTTTTGTTACAAATGCGTCATATCAACAAGTTACTAAAATAAAAAATATGCATATAAAATTGCGATCGAAACGTGAGTTACTGATTTCTTCTTTTACAATTGTTTTTTCCCTTTTTTTTACGTTTCAAATATCTTCCAAAGGAGATATTCACCTGATCAAATCTAACAATTATCAAGGAGTTTCAATTCAGTTGAAACTCCTTGCAATAATTAAAGTCCTATTTTTTCGGCATAGAGATATTATGTGTCACCTACTGTCTATTTTAAAAAAATCACATTGACCCGCATTATTGCGGTGGAATGTTTTGTATTTACCTCCAAAGATATTATATAAGCTAGGTGCGTCCTAGAAATAAGTGAGTTGATTGTGTTTGTGATGACATCAATTTTCTTGCAGCAAAGATATGAAGGTGTGGAGACGCTAACACATTCAAGCAGTGTGACTCTTGGACAAGAACGCATATTTCAATCTGGTGGCTTTTTATGTGCTATCACACCATATATAACCCCACCAGCAGAAATGTTTTTTTTTTCCAGATGGGGTAAGGAAGTGGAAGTGCTAACTTTATCAACATATTAAAAGATATATATCAATAAAATATATATATCATTATAGTAGCAAGGGATAAGACGATCAATTTCACAAACAACAATTGCATATGATAATTAGTCATGGATCATTAGTAAAGGGTCAAAGGCCACAAGAGGTCATATTTCGGGGCCGTAGCAATAGTCCGAAGGTTCAATAGTCCGAAGGTTCATTGGTCCGAATATTCACTATAGAACCTTCGGACCAATGAACCCTTGATTAAAAAATCGATGAAAATGTTACCACTTTTTGGACCAATGAACCTTCGGACCAATGAACCTTCGGACTATCGAGACGCCCCCATATTTCAAGCATTTTTTCATAAATTAAAACCAGAAAGCACTGTTGTGAATTGGTATCTTTAATAACGAATGCGAAAACTGGCAATTGCAAAAATATATTTCATGGCTTTTAAATTCTTTTCATGCTTTCAAGGCAGGAACATTTTTATGACCTAAAGCAAATTCACCAATAATTTTTATAACAAATATTGCAAAATCAGTTGGTCCAAAGTGAACATAAACAATGCTACATTTCTTCACAAGTTTGATCTTAAATACATTTCTTAACAATACATTCCTGAAAGTTTAAAGTTTAACAACTGTAAAAATTGAAGCTGCCCTATAAGCAGATCTTTTGTTCTGGAAAATAACAGACACAACATGGAACAAAAAGCTTTATTCTCTATCAGTGCGTAATTAAGTTCCACTCCTTATTTGATCAATATCCTTAGTACATTTTATCCAAACTCATAGAGCAAAGAGCAATTTTTCTTTCAATTTTCTTTTCTTGCCATGTATGAACATTAGTGCTTGACAGACAATCGTTTTGTGGCCAATATAATTTTTTTTAAATAGATCTTTTTATTTTTGGCTCATCTTGAGAAAGCTGTAGCCTAGTGCATCATATTAATGTGATATAAAAAGCATTCAGTAAGTACATTAATGGCCCTATTACTTCAAACAAAGACTAGGCCAGACAAAATCCTAATAGAAATCCTCCCTTATACAGTGTTGTGGTTTTGCCATCTCACTCAAAAACACACAAAAAATATCACCTAAACAATCCTGTTTTATTTCACTACAAAGCACACACTTTATTACATTATAGAGATATACTTAGTCATGTAGAACTAGACAAGCACTGTCAAAATATACTAGTCTAGCATGTGCAAGCTGCTACTTCACTTGCTAAAATATTTTTCTTGGTAGGAAAAAACATAAGGCTGGGGTTTATAAAAACAAACAGACTGAGGTACCTCAAAAGCCAATCTTACTACCCTAGGTTCACACTGGCAAAAAATCTTCAGCCAAAAACTGATCGAGTTGATTAATGTAAAGAAAATAATGGAAATCCCAATTTTTCACCTGGTTCATTTTTAAATGCTACTGAAGTCCCAGGCTTTTAAAAAATTTCAGTGCAGATGAAGTGCACTTAGTGAAAATGAAACTCTTAAGATCCCATGTGCAAGAATAGCCATGGGATACCCATATATAATAGTGGGACTAGGCAAATCTCTTTATATAATGTAAAAGTAGTTATTGTTATTTAAAAAAAAACTTCCAGTAAACAAAAAAAGTTCGTCCTCGGTAAAGGGCATACATATTGCATGAACCTGTCTCACTTCAAATTAGCAATCCAAGTTTTTAACAATTGCTTCTGCTTTGTCTATATTTCATGCAGAGGGAGGCACATCCCTTACAAAGCAAAAAATAGGCAAGGGATTTAAAAGTAACATTGCACTAGCTACAGCATCACTCAGGATTTTTACATCACCAAACTTATCAATAATGCAAAAGAATTCAAAACACTGGCAGCTGGGAATCATTAAGACCACTTTGCAGATGAAATAAGGCCAATCAAATCAACCTTCATTTCAATTTCCATACAAATTCTATGCCATCAGCAATAACAACAATTATACCAAAAATATACAACAATCCCTTATCAATTATAGAAGTGGCATGTATACATATACCAGTATGTAAAATAAAATAATACCAATAGGTATAAAAAGCTTATAAATACGGCCAAAGAAAAGGCTAACATGACTATACAGCAATGTACAGGAGGCAAAAAAGGAGAATATTCATTAAGATTGCAGCCATATTACATGTAGGTACACATTCAAAAGTAACTTCTTTTTATGAAATACAAAACTGTCAATCTTGAATCCCCTGAATAATTATTAAAAGCAAATCAATATACAATGCGTGTGACCATAACCTCATTTCACAAATGAGTTGCTGCTTGAAAAGTAAACAGTGTCTGACCTTCCCTTAATATATTGGAAAATATGGTAAATGTATGATAAAAAATTGCAGTTGAATTACACAAAAGTCCCCAAAGTACATTTGAAAAGCAATAGATAAGGTTTCACATACCACGCAGCATCAACATATCATAATAGTAAGGTACCAGTCTAATATTTGGAACTTTTAAAAGAAACAATAATTTCCCATGGGTATAACAAATGTCGATTCTTATCCACTAAACTACATCACTGCAAATCTTTTTCCCCCTAAATTGCTATTTATTAATGTCAACAGAAAGGCAATGATCTGTACATGTATGTAGTAATTAAAAGGTTGCAGACAACTACATTGTAAGTACATTTCCAATGGAAGTATCGAGACAAGCTCAGTTGTGACTTTAGGTATATAACAGCTTCAATTTAGCAAACGGATGATATAAATTTCATGTATATAAACACTTTATCACCTCAGTCATTCTACATTTCAAAGTCAATGCTTGAAATATGCAGGACAGGGTAAGGCCACTTTAAGCATTGCTTCACCATCATATATAGGTTTACTACTCAATGCTAGCTAGTGAAGACTGTAGCCTTAAGGTTGAACTGAGTTGGGGTAAATATTGCAGGAATCACACATGCTGGCAAATAGGCAATTCACCAGCAAATTGTTTAGAACCCTTGACCGTGACGCTTGCAGTAAGGGCGATTGTTTTTGGCCACAAATCCCTGTCCTTCTAAGTTCACCTGGCATGTCTGCAACACAAAATAGAAATATATTCATGTATAAATATATTCATGACATTTCACTTCAGTGAAGGAGAAAGAGAATAATATGTACATGACAAGTTGGATTACTTGTGATCTTTTGATCAATTGTATGCTTATCCAATTTATCTTATTTTACATTACTTTTAGAAAATAAACTTCACACCTTATACACTTAACATAATGGAAATACTATTTCATAAATCAATATGTTCTCAACTTCATTCATAAGTTAGATGCTTTAAGTGTTTTAATTCTGTTTCATATTACTGTTAAGAGATACAAATGTAAAACAGCCAAAATATACAATTTAAATCTGATGCCTAAGTGGTAGATTGCCTTTGGACTTGTTTATTCGTTAATCAGATTGCCTTCAGCAATACCTAGTCTCTATGGAGTTAATGTGCAGCAGCTAGGTTGATAAAACTCATTGTGAAAGGTCTCTCAGCTCTAAATCATAGATTTTCCAGATGGTTGTCTTATACTTACAGCACAGTTGAAGCATTCAGCGTGCCAGTTGCTGCCCAGGGCCTCCACCCACCTGTCTCCAGGCTCAATGGGGAACTCACAAGAAATGCACTTAGTCTGAAATAGGGCTTGCCAGTCTGAAAATAAAATGTGTGAAATTAAGTTAAGACTTGGAAAATGAATAGTTTGGGTTTCCATTAGTGGCCATATTCTCAAAAGGTTGTAATTAATTTTTACATATTCTCTAAACTTTTCACTTAAGTCCGATTGTTCACAGAAGTTGGTATTCTCAGATTTGTCTCTCACAAACTTTCAAGGACATGGCTCACGTTCAAAGAGAGAAACTAAACTTTTTAAACAATTAACACTTAATTAACAACATGTCAGGAAAAGGTGAGTTCACAAAAGTCAACATATCTGATATATGGTTTTTAGGGTATGTATAACATGTTTTAAGCCGTCCCACCTCTTTCACAGTAGACCATGCCATTTTCAATATGAAATACACTGCCTCCAATGCTTCCCTTGCAGTGGGCACACAGGAAGCACTCGGGGTGGAACTGCTGGTTGAGAGCATTGATGCAGTCCTAGATTACAAAGAAAATCAAGGTCAGAAAATAAAGAGAAAATAAAGAGAATGTAAAAATCAAAATCAGTGATAGGTAAATTCACATCTTGACATCTATGAAAATAACTTCCAATTTTTAAATTCTTTTTCTAAGTTAAGACCCTTAAACGAGAGAGACATACCTGATGTAAATTACCATTATATATATATATATATTATTACATCATACTATCATCTAAGCAGCTATACTTAATGAAATCTTTGTACTGTATAAATACTGAGACATGCAGGGAGATCCCTCAGTTGAGACTGACACAAAAGCAAAAGTGCAAAATACATCTCTTTTGTTAAAGTTTTTTTAATGAAATGTCATACCACATTTAAAGAAATATAAAACCAACTTAATATGTCTCTGATTAATACATACTCCTGCTAATACTGAATAAGAAATAACAACACCAAAAAAGATAACAGTAACAATAGCAGCAGCACAATACATACCCCAACAACAGGCTTGTTACACTTATTGCAGCTAGGGGCAAAGTACTTGGCATAGTCATTCTCACAGTACAATTTTCCATTGACTTCAATAAAGCCGGTATCCATTAGCTTGGTACGGCAGTCAGGGTTGGAGCACACAAAGTGATCTGGGCACCAATTCTTACCAAGGGCAATCACAAATGGGCCTCTGGAAAAAAGAGCAAAATATATCCAGGAAATTCTTGTTTGAAAACAGAAAGATGTACATGATGATAACACCAGCATTTTCTAGTAAATCCAACTACCCAGACACTTCACTCATGTGTTCACAAGCAGCTGAAATGTGTCAACTGAGATAAAGGCAATGCTCAAGTTGAGAATCCACTTGATAGGCTAAAATGTATTATGTGAGATTAAGAACCCACCTGATAGGTGAACCACATTCAGCACAGACTGGGATCTTCATTCCTGTGCCCACAGATTGCTTGAACACATAGTCCCCTCTCTTTCCTCTCTGAATGGGGCCAACTGGGCCTGCACCTGGGAAGGGCCTGGGTCCTGCGGGGGCCTTGACGGGGGCCGGGGGTGCCCTGGGGGCCGCAGGGGCTGGAGCAGGTGGAGGCGGCACACCAGCCCCAGGACGTCTGACACCACCTATGAGAGACATATATAGTTACCCTAAAGCATTGAGTCATGACATTCAATAACATATCCCAAAACATTGTGAATATAACAAATACTTTTTTTATTTTGAACCATTTAACAAAAAAGAAAACAATACTTTCAGGGAATATATCTGATCATTATTACTACGATGGCAAGTTATTAAATAATGTATGCTTAATTATCTATTCATATATCACCTTACCTTGTTGTGGAGCATCTCTGAAAGAAAATAGATAAACATGTGTAAGATGGAGTTGTATATACTTCAACAAACATTCTGATCTCAAACTACCAACTAATAAATATCCTTTTAATACAGAATGCTGGCCAGAAAGCAACAAACAGTATATACATTAAATGTAAAAATATTATACATACAAAATAATTCCTATTCAAATCATCAATATAATTTTTGACAATATTATTGTTACCACCTCATCTTCATGCTCACATGAATAGATTACGTAGTTTCCTCAAGTAGTATTACAGAAATCTTACCACTGTTAAAACCACTGACAAACTACTAAAAGTGAAGTAAAATGCACAAGAACCTGTTCAAAACAAATTGTGTTAGTTGTTCCTAATTCATGCAAAATTTTCAATCATGGGATTCAAATATTTGGTGGTATTCAAAGAGCTCACAAGCATATGGAGTTGCGCAGGATTTGAAATTTTCAGGTAAGATAGGGAGGAAAGGATATTATATTGAAGACAGTTTACCTGGATTTTCCTTTTTGTTTGATAAAAGTATAGAAAATGGTATTCCTCTCCGCTGAGTCCTCTGATTGAAGCCAAGCTTTATTTTTTTTTGTGCATGACAGAGAGAGTGAGAGAGAGAGAGAAAGTGACAGAATGACTTACGCTTACACCATTTTGTGTGGCATCATACTTTCCAATTATGTTAAACTTACTTCACTTTCCCATCCAATAACTGATAGGTTTTTGACTGCACTCCGGGACCAGAAGGGGGGTCAGATTTCATTTTGTCCATCTCCTCAGCATGCACCAATTTCAAAGTATCTGAAGGAGCATATTTTTTCACTTCATTCTCTTTACCCACCACTGCATACCTGGAAGAACACATGCACTATGCAAGAATACATGCTGGGACATGGGGAAAACATGCGGCATTATTGAGGGGTGGGGGTGGGGGGGTGGGGGGAGGCGTGGCATCTTATACTGGAATTCAATTTAAGATTCATGGTATCATTGAAGTTTGGAGGAGGCAAAATGTTTGTGTGAAAGCAACATCAGCTTTGTACTCATTTGACATTACTCGACTTCAATTACACTGGGTACTATAAAAAATATTGACCATATTATGAAAAAATAGACATAAGATGTTTCAATATGCCAAGAAATTTTGTTTTGTACAGTTCCTGACTTTCCACAAACAATTCACCTCCTTTATATAAAAAGAAAACATTCATTCTCTCTCTTTTGAACTCGAGTCAGTATTTGGGGTTTAATTGCACAATAACTGAACTTTGAGTTTAGATTAAAAACAACTACAAAATGATGAAAAATCCATACTTAGCATACATGCTAGTTATATGAAAAAATACATAAAAACTTTTGTTCAGTGTTTCATAATGTTAAATATCCTGACCCAAAAGATTAGGTTATATATTAAATACCCGATTAAGAAAATACTTTAACCAATCAGAATGCTCAGTCCAAAAATTTCTTCTGTATATATTAATATACATATATCCTTATCAAAGATTGATTTCATGCTCATTTCACTGTATATTAGCTACTTCTCCATCACAGAAACCAAATATTATCCCAATATTATAGGATCAATTTTTCTGAAAATTTCCCAGCCCTAAGAATCAATTGTTTTGTTCAATACAAAAAAGCTGAGATTTCTCGGGAAAAACCAACCTATGATATTGATATGATATATTAATGGTTATTTACAGATAGAAAGCAAATGTAGTATAACTGCCATCAACACAGATTTAAATTCCTTAATTTACTTTCATTTAGCAAAAGTAAAAAGTGAAGCACAAATAAAAGATTTCTCAGTGCATTAACTAGCAGAAAATGAAATAATTAAAAGACCACAACAACCAAAATAAGTGTAAAAAAAATAAATGAGTACAAAGTGTATAATAAAACAAAATAAATCTTCTCTCAAATGAAAAAAGTACATACAAAAAAAAAAACAAAACAAAAAACAAAACAAATTTGTGATATAAGCTTTACTTTACTACATGTATCACAAATATCTTTCCAATAAGCAGAAAACTTTGTAAAATTAGTATCTTGACTTAGGATGATTTTAATTTGTACCAATGATGGCTCTAAAATAATAAATAATAGCATCAAAAATGGGGAAAACTGCAAAATAGTCCCTGGTCAAACTTTTATATTTAAAATTAACATAAAAGCCAAATTAAGTACAGCTAATATTCCTCCATACCCTGGAAAAATTTCAAACATTCAATTCTTTGCAGGGATAAGCTTGTCTGCCAAAATATTTAGGGAAAACATACAACAGCAAGCAAAGCAATATGATAAATAAAAATGTATCAAAATTTCAAACAACTCCAAAAATGCCCATGCCCATATTTCACATAGAATGTGGTACTACCTTGCCCATGGAGCGTCCCTGACAGTAGCTGGGTCTGAAAAAGATCACAGTGAGTGCTAAGTGAGAGTTGTATAGTCTACCACCTAATGGCATAGCTGGTATAAAATCATGATACTCAGATTTTCTTAATTCCACCCTAAGATTCTTCTAGGAAAATTTTTTATAGTAAATGGAATCAAAAGTCATAACATATACTTGTTTTTAGGCAATAAATTTGATACCTAAAACAAGATATGAATATCCATTGGTAACGTAACTGGGAATATCTAAATGCTCTGAAGATCATGAGATTATACCTGCCAGCTGATAGAGAGTGCTGCAGTCTGTGGAAGACAATGCCATCTATGTAAGATGTTTCTAGGAGACGAGCAATCCAAGGTTAGAAAAAATAGAAGCTGTTATTTCTAATTCATTCTAACTGGAGCTGCACTATTGTTGGATACCTCCGAACTATCCATGTTAGATAATTCTAGGAAGGGAACAATCCAAGATTAGACAGAACTATAAGCTGTTATTTCAACTTCATGCTTCCTAACTGTTAACTGCTGTGGTGTTAAGGTACCCCTAACCTATCTAGCAGGATGCTATATCCTAGAACCTATTACCCTTTCTTGTTTGCTGTAGCCAGATGAGTCGCTGACTTGTTAGCGTTGGTATAAAGACCAAAGGGGGAGTTGTATTGACTGTGAAACATCTGGGCCGAGGCCTCGGTCTGGGCAGTGGGTGATGGGGTTTGCCGTTTGGCAAAATTGGCAGGGAGGGAGTCTGAAATGCACACTGTCAAGTTGATTAAATCCAAACACCTTCCTTTCACAAAGAAGGCCCATTTTTAAAAGATTATCCATGATAATGATATGGTTTTTAACTTCTTTTATGTCAAAATAGTTGGTAGAATTGATATCATTTTTGTCAAAAAAATTAGCATTAAGCAGTAGCTTAAATTTAATGTGACAAGACTGTAAAAATATTTCTTTTCAAAGCATCCTTTCCCAACCCTTTGCCATTTTTCTAACATCATGGATAACCCTTATATTAATCCAGTATCTCCCATGCACCTTCCCTCATGGAACTGACTCTATTAGGATCTCTTTTTCCATGTAATCTTGTTCTAAACTATAATGTAATACATGCAGCAGCTTACATCATTATACAGGTTAACTTCCTAAAACAAGCAAAATAACACAAATACCAAATAAAACCAAATAGGTTATCAAGAAGTTATAAGTAAGATCTATCTTTCTATGGCTTATGGGCACTTTGACCTTGAGGTTTCAAAATAAAATTGGTATTTAAAAAAAAACAACTTCTTTATGGCTCTAAAAAATTAGCATATAAATCCATCATTAACTTATTAGAATGAGCATTTTTTATATAGTTTAATTCATCAAAATGAATATTTTGGTATCGAAAAACAACATTCATATTTAGGGATCTAAAACAAATAATGAAAAGCATTACTAAGCTTGTCAACAAAAATTTAAGCATTTCAATAAAATCCCTTTATAAAGCATTAACACCAAATATATAGCAAAGCTCAAGCAATTTAGGTTATCTGTTAACAGTACCACATCACTGCAATAAAACTCAGTATGTGAAGCATCCACACTAAATGTAAGCAACACTAATTTTGATATTACAAAATCTTTATATTTTTATTTAGAAAATTCATCATAGTATTTCAGTTCATGATCTACAACATCTACTTAATTCCATAGGCATAATATACATCCTCAAAGCACATTTCTCAAATCTAAGTTCATTTTTGAATTTGTTTAATTTTTTCTTATGATTTCTTTGTCTAACTAAAATTCAAATTGCCACACAGTCATCTTTAACAGATGGAGTGTCCTAAAAACAATTTGTCAACGTTTTAGCTACTCTTCATTTAGTTGGCTATATTACGCCAAACTAACCAATCAGAGAGAGTTTGACATTTACCCTGTCCTCTGTCTATGGTATCCTTGAGTACTGTGAAGGAGTGGGATTGGGCATTAGGGTCAATGTAACCAGGGTAGTGCATTTCTTGTCCAGGTTTGTGTTCATCGTAGCGAACACTGTGGTCTGCAGGTCTGAAATGACCAATAAGTTAAGATATATCATGAAAAATCTAAGACATATAGTCATGATCAGTAATGAATATTACAGGAAGCTACTTCTATTTCTTTTCTCTTCTCATATAAAAAAAAAAAAACAATTTACAGGGCCTAGCCCAGAAGAATGATACTGAAAGCATTCATCACTAAAAAGAGTACTTCTATAAAATTCATTACATTTCTTATTATCAAGTATAACACTGTTTCCCAATGACAAGATGCTTTCTGAAATGGCACAACTTTTATACAAAATAATATGAGGCAAAAATTAATTAATAAAAAAAGTGCTAAATTTTCTAAATATCAACATATTATACTGTGATGGCTTGAACTACCCATACCTGTGTGCTGTAACTGTCGTCTTCTGCATCTGGGTGGTCACAGAGTCCACACTGTCACCATAAAGCTTGCCAGGATGATTATATGTCTGTAATATCACAGTTACATTTTAGCATGAGATACTGATCAATCTATATATGCTATTTGCTTCATTGTGTTAGGTGAGACAGGTTGATATAAGAGTGTTGCCACGGCACTATTAAAAGATCATGTTTTGTCACACAACATATACATAGTTTTCTCTGAGCAAGATAAGGAGACAGATATTCATGGGTTACATGAAGGGACAACATCCTCCATCAAACACCAACTAGATGAGTACTACTAATCCATTTAAATTCAACATTTTTAGACCCTACAATTAAATGTTTTTATACAGATTTTTTAATGATTTAACAGGAAAGTACAGAGGGTTTTTATGAGAAATGAAGGCAAATGGAGCATGATGTAAACCTCTGGTCTATCTCCAATCACTGTTCCCTCTGAAAGGCCAATGCCCTTATCAACCTTGGTTTCACCTTAGACTATCTACATGTTTCTATCTGTGGCCATTTCTTAGTGGTGATAGGTGGCAGCAACAGTTCTCAGAACATGATACCCCAAATCCCAATTAAATCTGTAGACTATCCCTATGGCTGTGCCACTACCCTCCCTCAGTATTATATGAAAGTGGGTATTTATACTCTCCCTGTGTTCTAACCAAGAAAGACTATCTAAAAATGTGTAATATTACTCCACACACCTGTCAAAACCAGAAGAGAAATACACACAGACATCTTAAACTTGAGCCAAAATGGACGAGACATAAAGTGGAGGTTGTTACTTAAAATATCACAAGTTTGGACAGTTTCACCAACTTTTCCCATCAAGTTGTATATGTAACACCCACACAGCTATCTCACACAGCTATCTAAACTTAAAGTATATCCATAAAACATGTGTTCAGTCTCAGGACATTTCTCAGAAATCAAAGCAGCTATCTAAGCAGAACACCTTTTTCAGGTTTTCATGTTGCGGGCATATTCAGAACTCTTCTAAATACCATAAATACACTCTGGTCCCAGAAAGTGATTCCTGCCATGGCTTCTACAGCACTGTAGTTGTTCTAGACCAGAACAATTCTAGCTTTCTTTTTTGTCTGACGCCATGTACTTTTACATCATACCTCACACCATATAGCCCAGTCTGCACCTTAGGATGCTATGTCAACAGTCTCTGTTTGTCCTGAAGAACTTGGGTGTAAAATAAACCATTAAGAAAACGAAATATCTTGAACTCTTCTCTACAGTCTGATTCTCTTCATCATCAAGTCTTCTCCAACTTCAGGAGAAAGTGCACAAAAATTAGAAGAATATCTGGTCTTTTGTTACAACTTTATATTTTTTAACTTTTGAATTGAGGTTTATTCATTTATCCTTTCAAAGTGTGTAAAGTATACAGGACTATGAAGCAAAATATTCAAACACCAACATGTGTATGCTAATGTACTAACACAAAATGACGGTTTACTTAAAATTCATCTATTTATGAGTTCATGGCTTAAGCATAACAGATAACAAGTCCAGACAGACTTCTTTCATGTTTAGATAGTTGTGTACATTTTGTGTTGCCTCAAAGAAAAGATGTTACATCTCTAATACACCGAGACAGGTGGAGGGAGGTTTAGAAGAGAAGGGCAGGTATTTTAGTTTCACCTGCAGATTAGCTGTAGGTGTTATAGGCTTCAGGAGGTGTCTTCACAACTTGTTTAACTTGAACCAGAAATATTCTGAATAGTGTCACCAATAAAACAGATCAGATCTTGACCCCCCTATACTCATCGGGAGCCACATCGCACCCTAAAATTTATAATCTGACAAAAAGCAATCAGGCTGCAAGTGATGACAGTTGGACTATTTCTGGTTTAACTTAGATCAGTGCTGAACATGCCTTGTCTTCCATCTTGAGTGATATACACAGGTTACCTTGGGTGCCTGCATGGAGTGAAGCAAAGAAAGGCTGAACACATGCAGTTAAATGCTATATGCACAGTAAAAGCATGGTTTAAGGTAATCTATATTAAGCAAAAACGGGTAACAACTCCCAGCTACATTTTCGAGCTTCATATAAATGTTACTAGCCCAATGAGCATAACAGAGTGGAGTCTAAACTCAGCAAAGCAAAAAACAGGTTCAGAATTAACCTGTAGGGTAAGATCTAGTATCTAACAAATAAGGGTTCAATTTTTATCTCACCAGTATCACCAATACTTCCAAGTTTTTTCATTTTATCTATAGTGCTATTAAAAACTGATGGTGCATTAAATTAGCCCTATTATTTCAATGTTATTTCCATATTTAACATATTATTTTTTTAGGTTTTTTTCTCAATGCCTCTATGTTTCTCAGGTTGTGCTATACGTGTGACAGTGTGTTAGGTGTGATAGTGTGCTATGTATCACAGTGTGTTAGGTGTGATAATGTGACGTATATCAGTGTGTTAGGTGTGACTGTGTAACATGTATCAGTGTGTTAGGTGTGATAATGTGACGTATATCAGTGTGTTAGGTGACTGTATGACATGTATCAGTGTGTTAGGTGTGATAATGTGTTTAGTGTAAGATGTGCTGTGCGTGTCAGTGCACTATGTAGATATCTAAAATAAATCATTTCTCTCAACAAGTAATTTGATATATCTGAATAAGAAAACTTATCATAAAATACATCACAGAGTATTTAATATTTCTAAAACATATATTCTTAAAAATGCAGTTTGTATCCTGCACCTGCATAAGTACTATACTTATAATATAATCATGATATGTATAGTGTATGCACCAGATTTACTATTAGCAGATACTTTTAAAATGCCATACACCCAGCTCATATGGCTTACCAAATCAACTCCAACTTTTTTGGGTTTAAAACATGCATCGTTCCCATTAAATCAACATTGATTTACATGCTACTTCCAAATGAAATTGATCAAGATTGTCTGGCTAACATTTTTAAGAGTGGGTTTAGGAAATGACTCGTAACCACAGGTATGTATCTTTAGGCCAACTTTAAAGCTTGTCTAACTTGGGAGTGAAAAAGTAGTTCTACCAACAGCATAAGACAGACAAATTTAAAATGACATTAGGCTCTTTCCAGTATATGCTTTATCAATTCTTAGCACACCTATCTCTAAACCTCTAAACTTTTTTATCTGATATAATACCAGCACCAATACACATGAATATATAGGTGAATTCAGCAAGCCGTAACATTGTTCAAACAAATACTGCCATACATCAACATGATGAATATGCTAGTCATAAATAAATCAAGAGAACCAAAATCAAATTGAAGGCATGGTAAATACAACCGTTACAATATGTCACATTAGCCAGTAGTTGACAAAGTTACTAGCCCGATTGAAATAGTGAAATTTTACCAGTTGCTTTAAATTATTTTCCACTATCTCCAGATTCCATTTTCAGACTAGTTAATTTTGACTTGTGCTAGGATTTTATTTATTTATTTATTTATTTATTTATTTATTTATTTATTTATTTATTTATTTTCTGTGGCCTACTCCCAGTTGTCTGAATAGTAACCAGTGGATTATATATAACCTGGCAAGCAATCTGAGAGTAGGCTGAACATGGCTTAAACCCTGTTCTTGGATCACATTTCCAGGAAAACTCCAACCTAACAATAAATTAATTACATCATATTCACACATACAAACTATTTCAAATGCTAGCCTGGTTTTAATGGTGATCTTTCAAAGCCGTTTCAATCATGTAACATGCTGGATAGTTGAACGTATCCACATGTCAAACATATGTTCATCATGCTGGCAGCTCAAGTGTCTCCTATCTAAATTTACCTATGTGGAACTATTGAAAGATTATAGACATCAAATCTGAATACACTGAGCACAGATGTTGGGAAGACAGGTGCATCAATAACAACACTTTAGCTCAGGCTGGTTAATAAAACAGTGCTGGTTGAGAAAAATAACATATATATATATATTTTTTTTCTTATTTGCCAATGTATCATCTTTTTTGTTGAGAATATATTTTTTACCAAAAAAAAAAAAAAATTAATGCAATCATAACCCAAGCATCAGCTCTATAGCTTTCAAAAATTTTATTCCTCAAATCTACTGAAAGCTATGCCATTTGTATGTGTATATCAGACATGTTCACATATGTTCTAACTTAAACAGAGAGATGGTCTAATTGTTTACCATGGTAAAATGGGTGCCACTGTGTGAATTGTTCAGTTAGACTATGGATGCATTCAGAACTAGTTAGTCCACAGGTCAAATATGGGTAACGACTAAAAAGTTTGCCGTCTGATCTGCTAATAGACACTGAATATAATCCCCACGGGGAAGTATTCAAGTTGGTTGGCCATATTTGACCCCTGAACTAGATAGTTCACTGTTCTGAATGTGGCCTGTTTAAGTTAGAACATTTGTTTGAAGTCAGCCCAGAGCTGGCAATTTTTTTTTATTTTTTATTTTACAATTTTCAATATTTGAATTAATTGCAGAAATAAATGAAAGACACTCACAGTCCCAAATTGTGATGAATCAGGTTTCCTCATGGCTGGTCCACCCCTGAATACATATAAGTTATTTTGTTGATAAGAGGTTAAAATAAAAAGATAGTCTTACCATCAATATCTGGATATAATTTTGCTGGAACATCTATTTGAAGTTATTTTCAAATATTTTGAAAAGCAAAAAAAGGAAAATGAAACAATATCATAACCAGACAAACCAATTTAAAGAAACAACATTATGTCTTAAAAAGTTTTCCAAGTCAACTGAAAGAGATTAAGATGGCTTTGCTTTAACATTATCTAAAAACTCTAGAAACACTTTCATATATTCATTGTTCAAATTGTTAACTTATTCTTCAACATTATCTCAGACAACCTGTACAGGAATATCGCAGAACATTTCATTGCTTTTTTTTAAACTCCATCTCCCTCCTCACCTGAGTAAAGTCAGTTCTAAGTGGTCTCCACTCTTGATGATGATATCTTGTGCTTCTTTGTGCTTCATGTTCTCAGCATGTAAGCCGCCCACTCTGAGGAGGATGTCACCTTGCTGGAGACCACATTTGGCTGCCAAACTTCCAGGCGTCACCTATAAAGAAAGACATTGAGTTTTTAACAGTAATGACATTGAGTTATATAAAGAAATGAAAGTAGGCCTTCTGAATTTGTTTTAAGATCAAAATAGCTACCCTTCTCTTTTTAAACAACATCCAGTAGTCATCATTATTTATAACCCTTTTTAAATTGAAAAAATTGTTTTTGTTTAATTGGATAAAATATCACAGTTGTGGGAGTATATTAAGGGCCAGTTCTCTATGGTAATTGGTAGTGTAGGTGGTTGACAACCAGCAGACCTTTGGCAGGTTTCATATAAGGCCATAAGATTAAATTTTTAACTATTGGTCTATAACAAAGAATTTATTTTTCTTCATAAAACAGGTGAAAAACTTATGTAAGAAGACTACTACTGATTTCTCTTGGGACAAAGCAAACTAATGTTGGTCTTACTAGTACTAGTAAGTTCTTTGGTGAAAAGGACCCCAGGATTGTAGCTACAGAGATAAATCATTGGAAAATGAAATGGAGAATGAAAAAGGCTGAAATTGAAATTTAGCATAGAGAAGATTCACTGGTTTTAATTCCTATTGAAGGAAAGGACAATTTCCAAAATGTTTTAACTAAGTCTGTTAAAAACTGTCCTGCAATAATACAAATTGTAAATTGATTACTCTCAGTGCAAAAAGAAAGTGTTGTGTCTAATAATGGGTCCCCTAACCTTAACAGTCTAATATATGCCAGTTGATTGTAAACTCCTCTCCCTCCCAAGTACATACACACTTCTACCTTCCTAATGTTATGAAAAGCAAGAAAAATGTCCTATTAGTGGGTAACCAAAACCAAAAATGGCTGTAAGCAAACTTTTTTCTATTCCTAAAATTGGCTTTGTAAACTGGTGCACAAAAATGGAAGACAAAATGTCCACTTCTGAAAGTTCTGAGGCCATGCCCACAAAAAGTGTTGAGAACTACCTTTTGTCCTAAATACAATCTCTAAAATACAAAAAGTCAGTTGAAGTGTAATAAAAAGTGAGATGGGTGTAATGTTACCAGTAATGTGTGGCACTGCCTTCCACTGATTTTCCTAAGGCAACTGTACTAAGTGGAAAATGAGTTTCAAATTTGACACCCTTTTCATCTGATAAAGCAACAATAAATGCAATTGGAAGTGCAACAATAAATAGCAAACAAAGTTTAACAAAATTTATCTTCCCAACAATGCAATTAATCTTTTTTTGTTAAAAGAATAAAAAGAAATCGAGACAATTTGATTATAATTTGCATATTTTTGGAATAACTTTTATTTCCTTCAGCAAAACACAAAGAAAAAAAAGTTTTTTAAGATAATGTCGAGGTTACTGGGACGGGTCAAAAATACACATTCAAACTTTAAAAAAATTATCCAGTTTTCTTCCACAATCTAATCTAAACACCCACACAGTCTGAAATACTAATTTGCTACAACAAAAACAGACCCACAGGGCATTTTTTTAGTGATGACAGCATTGGAAAAAAATTCCAGCTACGCAAGTTTGCAACAGTCACTTTATGCTGCAGACACATTCTAAACAATTTTACGTTAAAACATTAAAACTGTATGTATCATCTGGTCATACCTGTTGTACCAATCTCGTTTACATGGATGTTAAACTGACCTTTATTTATGAGGACATTCATCTGCATGAATTCTTATCAACCAGTGTACTGAGACCTCTTTTGTTAGCATTACTTGAAGAATTAGTTGTCATTAGTTTCCAGCAGTTGACTTTAATGATGATTTACTTCATGTCTCTCCTGCATGCTACTAGTGGTTGATGCATTGTTACCTTAGACATCATTGATCAGGCTGAAATGTGTGTGTAGTATGTGGAGTGCATGTGTGCCTACATATGTACATTTTGTACACACACATCAACAAGAGTCCATGTACTGATTTATGTGTGGAGACTGATCACCTATACATTTGCATATGTGTGAGTGTGTAGTGAGAAAAAAGTTCCACTGACCAAATATTGAAAATGAAAGTAGTATGGCATTGACATTGTCGCTATCACCTTCTAAATAAAAAGCGACACACGTTACCAATGGATTTACCTGTGACCTCCAGGTCTGAATTCAATAGTAACACCATTTGACACAGACACAGCCTTCCTGTCAAGGTGTATCAGTTTCTAAAACAACAGTTTAAGGACATCCCACTGATAGCCATGTGTTGTATACAGCCCTACAGCTAGTAAGAGAATCACACAGGAGATGCTTCAACTCAGCTGACCTCCAATTATCATGTCCCTCTTTGTACTTTAATATGGGCATGTGAATCCTGCTTAAGAATCTATCAATGTGTGTGCATAAACATATAGGTAAATACAGCAAAAAGATGACATCATTTCTATAAATGTGATGGTAAAAATATCTTTATCTTTTCAAATCTTTTTTAAACAGGGCAACTGCATTCTCTGTCCAGTGAGAAAATCACATTTTCCAATCACAGGTACTAGTAATCACTTTTTTAAAAGTCATACAAAAAATAAATCTATGCTTCACTCAACTTATAGCAGACATTCTTAACCTCATCATGTCCTGTGTGTCATCTTCAGTGGTTGCTTTTTTATTTGCTTTTAATTCAACATCCATTTTTTTTTTTTCAGTTATTACAAAAACACAGACAGGCTCTGCCTATCACAGGCAGTTTTAACTTTCACCACCAAGATACTTGGTATGCACCAATACCTGACCTGTGAGAAGTTTTATATATCTTTCTCCCCATCTACCAGGGCAACAGGCACTCAGTTTACCTGGGGCCAGTCTTACATTAGAACCTGAGACTGAAAGTTGGTCATAATCTTACTTAGGGGCCTTTCCCAAAAACTATCGTAGTAAGTAGAGGCATGTTAATCTGTTCATGAATCTGACTGCATCTGATCTGATCCAACTATATGTAAGCCTTAAAGATATATTTTTTAATGTTTCTTGGCAGGTATTTTTGATATGCAGCTTCTCACACACTTATTCATTATCTGTAATCTTTGGGATTATAAATAAACCATGAAATAATCCTTTCTATATCTATCCTCACCTATAAAACTGTTGCTGATTCCCCATGCCAGGTGAGAGCTAACTGATATTAGGATAGTACCAGTAGGTGAATATACAGCCACTATAAAGTGTTTTTCATGCATATCAAATTCTTTCCCTTACATAAAACTTTTACTTTCTTTTTTCAAAATTCCATGAAAATGAGAAAGAAATATAGGAATCTGTATCTTGGCTGAATTATAATAAATTTAACTGGCACTCAAAAAAGCTGCTAAATATTGCACTGAATGAGAAATATTCCTGTATGGTCAAACTGTTGTGGATTGACCCTATAATAACAATACAGATATAAATATTTCCTGGTTTGGTACATAAATATATAGATATTTAGGGATGTTTTTATAGATTATCACCTAAATTATCTCATTACAAGACACCATTTCTTTTATATGTGTTTTATAATGATGATAATCCCACCTGAATTTTGGACAAATTCTGATTATCTCTATCAGGTAAAACATACATTACATTGTGTTTAATATAAACTTTATATGGTTTCTGACCCGATTGCCAGGCATCATCAATATGAAATCATACTATACTGTCTTGGAAGTAAAACCATCTCACCTGAGCCTAAAGACAGAACTTTGGGTAAATTTTATTTTTACAGCTGTGCCAGAATGAACCCTCTTCTAAGATACATATTTGTACTTCTGGTATAACCCCTACAGCCCTTATACTGTAAATCTCTATAAACCCGATGAGAGTTTGCCCAAAATTATCAACACAAAGAGATTGTTCACAAAGCTTTCAATGAAACCACAATTTATCAAACCTCGACCAAAGCCAAATATGAAGATATGTAATTTCAGTTGATAAAAACTTACAAGAAAACAAAGGCTTAATGCCTATCACAATTCCACACAAATGAACATGTTTTTCAGTACCCTGGGGTTCAGATTCTCTCTGCTGTTCTAGCAGTTATGAAACTGATTGTCATTCAAATAATTTTGTAACAGCTATAAGGACATATGGTAGAAAGTAAGTTTTATATGTACTTTATTTATTTACATTTTCATCTATCAAAAGCTAACTCAATAGTTATCTCAGTAGCATACAGCCTCTAAGAAATATCCATACTTGAAATATATGCATCAAACAACAACCTCATGACCTTTATACTTTCACCCTGAAACTCAGGTTAGAAAGTTATTCTAAGAGATAAACAGGGTACCAAGTAAACCTCAGCCCACTTCCATTGTGCTAGAGATAAATTTAAAGGGTATCAATTTCAAATAAAGAAAAGTCATTTTTTTTAAACCCATCATTCTGAAACTCAGGGTGAAAGGCTATTCATAGTGGCAAACACAGTTAGATTAACATTAGTCCAGACAAGCTGCTCAATCCTGATTAAGAGTTCTACACAAGGAGGGATACATTATCTGGTATGTGATACACTGAGCCATTAACAGAAACTTGGAATGTTTGAATGAGTCAATGTCTCCACTGACCCAGGACATTAATGCCATGAGGAGACATAGAAATGTCACACTTATGAATCATTAACTTGATTAAAGTGAAAGATATTGGCAGCTTATTGAATTATGTATGTTAATGAAGATGTATCGAAAATCATAAAAATAGATCTGATTGCGACAATGTCATCACAATATTAGTAGGCTACAATATAAAGTATTTTATTTTGAATTATAAAAAACTTGGTGCTTACATTTCTTAAAGAAAAACATATTTTACAAAGCATTCCTAGTTCTTCTTCCCTATGAACCTAAATGACCAGAGCAAAGCAATTAGGAAGGTGTGTAACTGGGCACTTCACTGCTACCAAAACAGATGTCTGGCAGCAATGAAAATAGGTTGTTTTAGAATCATGGATGATAGATTCCATTTCTACGACCCATTGCATGTGTACAAAGGTACATGTAGAAATCCATATTAATATGAATATCTGACAAAGTATTCATTAATTCAACTTCTATTCGAATTAAAAATTTTATTGTAAATCTACCTTCATGTTTTCACTCCATAGCACTCCTTCTTGAAAGAATACTAAATTCTCAAATTAAGGACTGTATTTTAAGAAGGCCACACAGAAATGAATGCAAGGGGAACTACAGAGTAACAGTTATCAAAACTGACATTTATTTTGCACCCACTATTATATATTGTGAAAGTATACATACTTCAACACTAATTCAGGCTGTGAATAAGAAAGACTCCTGTAGTTACAGGTGCGGGTTTACTTATTTGATACTGTACCGGGGTTATAGTGGTGTTATCAGAAGTACAAATCTCACGCCTACTAGCAATGCATACATAAACGATGAACCGACCTACTACTACTCCTCAATCAAGGTAAAGTTATCTTAACTAGTAGAATGCACCATGACAATTACTTATTGAACGACTTTGAATGACACAGTCGCGGGAAAGCAATTAAACTGACATTAAAACGACACTCATGACAAAGGTTAATTACAACACATGTTCACAATTTCCTCAAACCGACCATTTCCTATTTTGGTCAATCATCGACTTACCCTCTGAATGGAGAGTGGGGCGCTGAAATCCTTTCCCCCCTGCATACGAAACCCCCATGGTGTGCTGTGATCTACACGCGCTAAGTTCGCTTTTATCTGGACGCCTGACATCGTTGGTTGGCAGTCTCTTTAAAAATCCTACAACAAACTTTTCGACCCTGCCCCAGTCCTATTTTGATGCATAACTTTCAAGCCTCAGAGTTCCGGTAAATGGCGCCCTCTATCAGCGAGACGGAAGCGATGACGGTATGAGGGAGCAGTAGTTTTTGTATATCAACTAAAGAGTCAGTTGAGCTTGATAGGCAGAACGATATGACTAATTGTGAAGCGAAATATAGGCGCCTATTTTTAACAAGTAAATACAAAAATGTAAAAAGGGAAAAACTAATATTCAAAACTGACTTGCCTCCATCTTTTTCACATCTTCTATCTTAGATACATTGTTATATTGTAAATGTACACTATCTTTAGTAGGAAAGTCTCATTCTATGTTGCATTGTAACTTTATAAAACAATTTAAGTTTACTGTATATCACACTCACGACTCATTTAGGCTAGTCATGTATTGGCAAACAGAGTTAGATAAACGCAAGTCGAAAAAGAGTGATCCCGTCTTCACACCTGAAGGGGCGCTACCCTTTACAAAAAAGTGTAAATCTTATCTAATCCAAATACGAAGGAACTTCTCATAAAATTCTTTTAGAGTTGCCTGTTTTGTACGCATCTATATTTTGGGAATAATTTTGGATAACATTTAAATGATAAATTATAGTTCGAATTCCCCAATGCAGGATGAAAGAAAGAATACAGATTGGCCTACACATTGTAATGAATATCAGTAATTCCACCTCATTTAAAGAAAATATTGAGGCTACACTCAATTAGAATCAATTATAGGATCAGTGTTTTTATTTTTGGATTTTTGGTTCATCTTTGTTTTGAAAATTTCCCTTGTTCTCACTGCAGTCCTTTTAACCCGTCTGGTTGCGTCATGATGTCTGTTGAACAACTAACGCATTCAAAGAGTAAGATAATATAAAAGAGTAAGCTAGAGCTATTCATGGCTAGTATAAATTTGATCTTAAAATATAAGCTCAGGACTTGACTTTTAAAGTATTACCACAGATGGACATTACACGTTACTTTTTAACATTTTTCAGACAAAAGACTATTCCATCTGCTGGTTTAAATCAACAAGATGCAAAATGACTTTTCATTTTTACAAAAATGATTGCTCCCTAAATCTTTAGTCAATGAAGGTCATAAAGGGGAACAGCAGAACATAAACTTCCGGCCCCAGTTGAGAGCGGATATTTGTCATAGTGTGTAATGCATTTATTCATGGTTATAATTCATCTTAATGTTGATAAACCCACATAAACCACAAGTGTGTGTTTCTTAAAGATTAACACACATTGTTAAAAATTCCGACATTGAGAGAGGACACAGTTTTAAAACAGAGAAAAACAAAGGGAAATTCATTGCCAGGCTGGAAAATTTACCTCGGCCGCCCTCTACGAAGAAGAGCTATATTCAAATCGAGCGCCATTTGACGTACATCAAGTCTGAGGCTTTGAAATTTGATCCGGCGCACTATACTTCACTCAGACTCCTTCACTTCTAACAGGTCAACAACATGGAGCAGGGACAGCAAAGACTGAGAATTACCCTCGCCAGGCCGGACAGTGGGGTGCCCTGGGGGTTCAGGCTTCAGGGTGGGGCCGATTTCACCACACCCCTCTCAATTCAGCTGGTAAGTCAGTACTTGTCAAAAAAAGTTACGAGTTGCCACAACTTTTTGATGCCGACTTCTCTGCATGGTGATTAAGCCGGAGTGTGGTTACGGACGCTATTCTTTGATAAGCCCAAGCAAGATATTAATTTGTTATGATGAATTAAGGAAGAAATTGCGTTTACGATCTAAATGAATCATGGTAGTTTGTTTTAATGTATTTTTCTGTAAAAATAATTTGCATTATCATTCTTAACCTGTAGATTTCTGACCTGACAGCTTTCCTGTTGCCATATATTAGACTGATGGGGAATCTGTGGGGGTAATATGTTTTCACTGAGAATACTCTTAGTGCTCTTAGTTTATGTGCTTTGCCTATAATACCTGGGCTGCTATATTGCAAAGGCTAAATTTACCTGGAGCCCAAATATGGCATCAGCAATATGGGATCTGGTTCACCTGAAACTGTGATCAGCTGATCACTTCTTAGTTATATAGTTTTATTGTATATAACTATTTGTATCTTTTCTGTGATTCATATGTCACACAAAGATACATATTAGCAAAGTTGTAATTTTTTAAACATCTTTTTGGCATGCTGATAAATCACATTCATCAGCCCATCTGTTGCTAATATTACAACATGCCTGAATTATCAAGACCTAGACTTTTGATGTCGAGTTGAAATTTGCTACTGCAAATCACTTGCAGATAGGTGGCATAATGTGTTACATAATGTAAAAGGTGTGAAGGTTTTAATTATTTTTTCATGAATAGTTCAATGTGTGAACATGCTGTTGAGATATGTAACTAAGCTTCTGATGCCGCAATTGAATTTCCCCATATAGTCAAATTGAGGCCAGGTGAGATACCTGACAAATAGCAACAAGTGGTGTGTAAATATCTTTTCACATAGATTTTATATAAATGAAAAACATTCCGTTGCAAAGGAAATATCTTTGAAGGCATCTTGTTACTAATGAAATAGTTCACCTGTCAGAGGTGGAGTGTAAATGATACCCACATGGAGTAATTACATCCAACTTTGTACACCTTTAAGTTAAACCAAAATAAAGGCATGCCATCATTATTTTCATAACATAGATTGTTAAACAAATTTACTAGCAGTCACTGATATAACTATATAATTTGTCAGGTCCACAAAAGCAGTAAGAACTGATAGATGAGATGCTATTAAGATAGTGCTTTTATGTTAGTACCACACTCTTTGAACATCACAGCAGGGGCCCCGGCCTTTTCTTTACATGATCTGACAAATTTCCACCAGGTCCTTATAACCTGGGATTTAGATTAGGTTAATTTTTATCATATCCAGCGTGAAGCACTTGACGGGGTTATATTTGGGTTCAGATAAAATCACTTTGAAAGATAGTGACCACATTTAGGAGACAATTTGGATTAAAGTATCAAGGCTAATCTTTAATTTGTGAATGTGTAAACAAATGCTTTCTTGTATAGAAAGGTTGGAATTTTGACTAAATATGGAAAATGTTAAGATTGTAACCAGAATACATCAGTAAGGAGTATGAATCATTAAGCAGTACTACAGTTATATATTAGTTGTGGTGAACCATGTCAAGCCGTTTGCATGCAAAAGTATAATTAGATTAAAGTCAAAACAACAATGTCTAAATATGGTTTCATGGACATCCCTATGATATGAGTTTTTACTTAAATGTATGACTTTATTGTCTCTTTGACAATTTGTCGTTTTTATGAACTCTTCAAAGTGACAGACCCTTATGCCCAAGTCTGACGTTTTCTATACTGCCTGGACCTGTCCTGACTTAATTATAATTGCTGAATTTCTGTACAGGCCTTTCAAGGACAAAAAATGTAATTTGATATTATTTTTAACTTTTTGCTAGGATTTTGTGTGGTAAAACCAGCTGCTGGTGTCATTCACTTGAACTTGGTATGGATCATGTTATTGATATGTTCAGGATAGTGATATTATCTTGAGTAGGTTGTTGAAGTTCCATTAGTCTTGAAACTAAGGGCGAGTTTCCATTAAAGTTGGAACAGTTAAACTTGTGCACACTTTATCAGTGGATGTAAAAGTACTAGTACACTGTATTTTGTAATCATGTGAAGCCTGTCTTACAGCACATGGTTTGCCTCAGTTACAGTGGTTGTGGACAGAATAGCACAGGGATTGGATTACTTTTCAAATTTCTGTGAATAGATTTGGTAATCAAGTAATCTACTGGGCTATCAGGTACTAAATTGACGGGTCCTAACTTGAATATTCCTCAAATATTCCTCAAATAATATAATGCTTGAATTCAGCTTATATGCCAAGTTTTACAAAATGGCTATTTTATTCATTTGGCCAAAACATAATAGTTGATCAAAACATTTACAGTATAGATGTCCAATCCAGTATTCAGCAATGAATAGATAATTCTATGTCCAGAGAGAAATTCCATGTTATGATCCAAGTAAAGGTTATCCTGGTATGTTGTAATCACTTTGCCATTTAGAAAAGAGGAAATTCCTAACTGTCTATGGTCTGCTTATCTTGGCAACTCACTTAGGTCTTCTAAATAGGACAAAAGGTAGAGATATATCTGTAACAGGAAATAATATTATTGTGTGTGTGTGTGTGTGTGTGTGTGTGTGCCTGCTAGTGTGTGTTATCCCTGATCATCTCACACCAGACATATAATAACAAAATACAGAATATATTTTGAAGAAAAATGTTTGTTCGTGAAATTAACTGAGAGAGAGAGAGAGAGAGAGAGAGAGAGAATTCCCCCTATTAAAAATGTTCTGTAGGATCCTATAGGACTTTTTTATTAGGGGAGAGAGAGACTGATATGAGTAAGCTTGAGGATGTGACAGCAATGGAGGGAATGCAGACAGATAGATAGGGAGCCCTCTCTATGATTATAGAGGCATGCCATTGATAACCTTTTGTGACTTTGATGCTGTTGCTACAGGAGTCCTTTGGATAACTTGGCTATGCAGTGACACTCTCTTATCACTTTGTTTTGTAGATATCAGGCAAGTCTTCAAGGCGGCCTTATAACACTTCAGATATGTATAACATGTCATTATCCCTTGATGTCTTTTTAACACATATATTTAAGAGATGGGGGGAGTGAGGATTTTTTTTTCAAAAGTTGAACGAAATAGTGTAAACAAATGCAATCTTAACACAAAATTTAAAGAAGGACCAGAATTCTTCCTGATGGTTTACCACAGTGACAAGTATGAATTCATTCACCCATCCTTTCTTATATAGCTTCAGAAAATGACTTCTACTCCAGACCTACGGTAATACTCACAGTTTTCAAACACCATACTGACTTCAAAATATACTTTATTTTATTAACTAGTTTAAACTAATTGGAGTTATTGAAAAATATTTATATTAGATAATAATTAACACATATTTCTTTGTGGGACTTTTGAATCATATTTTCAGGTGTCAACTTGAGGAAACTTGATTAATTGATTTAGTTCAACTTAAGTGAAAAATTATCATGTCAAAGGATGGTATACTGTGGTTTCTAAGAATACTTTGCTCTGTCAGAATCTACGTTTTATATGAAATAGTACCCAGCATGGGGAATTAATTGATTCACCCTCATACACTGTGAGATAAATTACACCACGGGGATCCTTTCACCTGTGTCGTTGTGACGTCATTTTAGGCAAGACTGCACCTGAATCTGGGGCTGGATTTTATAAAACAACTCAGAACCGTATGTAACTGAAAAATTTTGTTCATTTAAAACTGGGATAAAATCTGTAGCAGTCCACAAAAATAAAGTGACCTGTCACCATTTATCTTCGATATGAACCATTTCCTTCTTTTTATATACCAGACTTGATTTTTCATGTAAGTGGACTTCTTCAGCTTTATATAGGGTCAAAGTAGACTAAACATTTTGGGCTTAAAGTTTAGACCGACTTTCAGTCTGAAGTTCTTCGGTGCAACCAGGCCCTGAGAGAATTAAGACCCCTTTGGAATGCATATGACATAGAAAACAGCTGAAATGAAATGAAATGTGTACTTAAAATTGGCATTGGCAATTCAAGTAAATATTTAGCAAATGCTTGTGAAAAATTGCTCTCTTTAGAGGCATTTTTTATAATTCATGTTTAGAATTAAACTAACAGACCATTAATGCAATACCTTTATTGCTATTTAATGCTGGAGGATTAAGTAGATATGACCAGTCTGGTTAGGATAGAGACTGGCTCATTCTATCTCAAGTAAATAGCAGGTGCTTGGGTACTAGTAATACACTGACCCCCCCTCCCCTGGTGTGAGTGTGTGTGTGTCCACTACAGAGTGCATGACTGACCAGCATTACAATTAAATGAGTTTTCATTCTTAATGTTTTGAGTCCAGTGTGGTGGCCCCTGAGTGGCATGCAATTTAACTTGATAGTCATCAAAAGTCAATTGGATGGCGAAGATAAATAGGATGTCTTTTACTGCAATAAATGGATTGGGGTTGTTATTTGTTGAGTACATGTACCAGTACATATAATGCGCAGTGTCATTTGAAAAGTGATTGAAATACAGCATGCACAATTAATATAAATATTTCAAGGAATGTCTGTCTGAATACTAGTCTAATGTAGAACAGGTATTCAGGTATTTAATACTTATGAAAGGGTAGAAAAATTTAAAAAAAAAACAACAAAAAAACTTTCCTGTTTCACTTCATCAAAATACCACCTTCTTCTTAGAAAGGAATAGTTGGATGTTTGCAAACATTAACTTATCAAAATATTTACCTCATGTTATAAAAAAATACAAATTACTTCTATCTTTTTCTTTCATTGTGCTAAAAGCTTTCATTTTCATTAGGTCTAACTCTTTAAAATGAAAGGTTGAAATACTCATTTAAAGAAATCTGAGAGAATGTGTAGGTGTGAACTACTTTCAGAAAAGTTTTTCATGAGATAGTCGGACAAGATAAAGGGGACAGATTCAGTTATAATTTCTTTTGGTTGCATGTCACCCTTACCCAGTGTCACTGTCTGTTCTCTTTGTTTATAATGCAGACCTACCTAGTCTGGGGCATTGTGGTCACCAACATTGACCACACAACAGATAGGAGGAGGTATTTCCTTTGAAGCAAAAGGGGAGGGGAGTAAATTAGGTGAATAACATGGCTGGATAATTGTCAGGGATCTCTTGAATGAAGTCAGAGGTTGGCCTACTGGTCAACCACTTCCTTACATTTTTAAGGAAGTATGGCTATGTCTGTTGAGTTCAGTTTTAGAGCATGCATATTTCCTTCATAACTCATTGGTACAGCTACTGTTTATTGTCAGTGACAGATGTGAAAGTGGTAGTGGTAGGTGTCATTTGGTGGTCACCCCCCCCCCACCCCCCCCACCCACCCCCTTCTCATGCCCTTATTGTAAAACTATTCTTTCAAAGACTAGGGATATTGTCAGATGTCCCTCCCTATAGTATTTATATTTTAACTTTATCCCCCCCTCCCTTCTTCCCCAAATCAACAATATGGCCAGTACATGTATATTATATGTCTTCTGTGGAGACAGTGGGCTTTGACACTGAATATATGCACCCATGTGTATTGAAATTATCCCCTACATTGATGTCAATTTCAGGCTTGAGGTGGAACAAGAAATGCAATAGATTATCATCCCTTCAACTGACTCTGTTATTATTATAGTACATGTATATGATTCACCTTCATGAATTGTACATTAAGATTTTCTTCCTTTGTAGAGTTGAAATAAGAAGATAAATCTTAGGGCGGACTTTAAAAACGTGTATTGTTAGAGGCACAACTTATAATATTTGAAGTTTAGTACATAACACAGGTATTTAATTGTTCTCTATGGTTTATCGGCATACCAGAATATATATTTGCTAAGTGAAATTTGTAATATATTGACCTATTAGCTTAACCCATTGTCACCCTGCCTTGTGTACACAGTATTAGGAGGAGGCATAAATTATACATTCTTCATTAACTTTCAACTTTAAGTGTTATTTACCTTTACCAATTTATTGCTTTCATGTCAGCTGCTGTGGATGTTCCAAATTCAAAAATTGTAATATCTTTGTTTCATGAAAATCAGTTTAATGTCATATTTTGTGCTCTGGACAGTATTAATAAAATAATATAATTAAAAAATACTGACTTATAGATTGAAAATGGAAATATATGTTTAAATTTTGTATATAATACTATAGGCATAAAAAAGATGCCTATCACATATATGATGTGACCTGTATGAAGTATCAGGATACTTAAACAACTGGGTGTCTGCTTTACAAGTTCAATCATGAGGTATTACACAGAATGTAATTTTCCAGTTTATTGTCACTGCACACACAGGAGCACCAAATACACACGTATGATAAGTTTCATTGGTGCCTCCTAAGGATGAGGTGAAGGGTGATGGTTGTTATGAAAATATCCCTGCAGCGTTAAGTTTGTGGAATAATAACTTTTGATTTCATCTCAGTGGACTGTTTGAGTTTGCCATGCATACCTTAACCTTTACTGTGTTATATATGTATTCATATTGGCATAATTCTTTTATGCACCTTTGAAGGTTGAGTCTCCATTGCAGCAAATATAAATGTCATCAAATAGTATTTTGTAATAACGGCACTACAGTAACTTGACTTTACTTTTTGCTGTATTTATATTTCTTTTGTTTATGAAGAATGCAGGCATTTTATATAAAGCATCCCTTGAAATATTCCAAGATTTGGAATGTCCCACCTGTGACATACTAGTGGTAAAGTGGCATATATAAGTCAGGTGCAAAGGAATTCTGCCTGTACCTATGATATATGGGATATTTGTCTTTATGGCTAATGCTCTTAAACACTTAAAAGACATTAAATGAGAACATTTGCTTCTTTGAAAGATGTCATTATTGTTCAAGATGTGCTGTCAGGTGATTTATCTTACCTGTCTCACCTGTCATAAAAAATTTGATACACCTGAGGAATCAGTGCAACATGGGCTGCCTAATTTGTGGAATGTTGCTATATATTTTGATTATATTTCTGTATATGTTATAGTATAGCTTTATCGTAAGAAAATGATGTATGCCACTGAAATTATTGCTAGATTGGCAAAGATTTTGTCAGCAAAAAGCAGAAGAAATATATATCAAGAGTCATTTATACTGTAGATACTTTCCTCAAACATGACATCTTGAAATTTTGATAACCTTAGTGGGTGTGTGTCAGCCATTTCACATTACTGCACATATCTCACACTGCTGTGATATTAATGTTAATACATCATTTATAAAAATGAATCATATTGCAATATAGCAATATTTCAATATAGAATTAGAAATAGAATCACACCTACAAGGCCAAATCCTGTTGATAAAACATTGCATTACTATATAACAGTTATGTTACATCAATCTGTTTGGTACCAAAGTAGAACTTTTCATGTTGGATAGGAATGGGAGGAAATAATATTCTCAAGAAGAAAAGAGTAAATTAAAAATATATCTTTATTCCTTTTGCCTGGACTCTTCATACAAATCAAAGCTATAATATTGACCTTCAAGCCCAAGACGTCTTTCAATCTTTTATACCTGGCTTTGTATGAGTGTTTGCAGATTGGTTGAAAAAAACTCCAGAGGATCAGCTCGTTGGTGTTTCAGGCCCAGAACATATGAAACTAAGCAAGGTTTAATCAAAATATTTGATCTAAAGATTAAGGATCAATGGAAGTGAAATAAAAGACAAATTGCATCCAGCCAGCTTTGATGGAGATGTCAGGTTAAATAAGGGTATGGGAGAAACTTGAGGAGTGGGAGACCTGTCTTGAGGGGGGATTGTTATTTCAGCATCTCTAGTATATCTTTCACATTCTTTGGAGGGAGGGTATGAGAAGAGCATTGATGCAGAAAATAGTCTTGATAAGTAAAATAATACTAGTGAATTCATGTGGAAAAAGTATCTATACAGGAGCTTTTTGGATGTGTTCACAAACAGTCTCTCCCCCTTGTTAAAAGTGTTTTGGAAGTTGTCAAGTTTCCAATGTGGTTACTGAAATAAAAGGAGACAGAATTCACTGAATGTTCTCCCAGACATTTGTTGGCATTTTTGGACAATGATTCAGAAAAGTTCACAGTCTAAAACCTGCCTTGAGATTAAAACAATTCACTAGGGAGTTGAAATAGCATTAGGAAGCACAGTTCTTGCAGTTAATGAGAATGTTTCATGACCCGTTTTCCTGTATGGAAGCATGAGGCAATAGAATTTTAATTAGAAATTACCTTGAAAACTAATAGCAGTTCAGTGACATAACTTACAAGGATAATGAAGATAAAACTAACTGATAATCACCTTTTAAGGACTAGTTGTACTAGTAAATTTAAAAATATTGATTGATGCTTATTCTGTGTTTGCATGTATAACATCCACAATATGTGACATGTTTTACTGCAGTATAACTATATTATAAGTTTTTTATAACTATATATATTATATTGAACATTGAACCAATCATTCTGCGTTTCTCATAATATGTAGCAAATAGTTTCTTTAAGTAACATTTTTATTACATATGTGATTTAAGAAGTTGAAACATTGTAACATCATTTGACAACATTGTATCTTACTTGCAGGTGAACCCTGGCAGTGTGGCAGAACGCTGTGGTCTGCACCCTGGGGATGCCGTGCTGCAGATTAATGGTCAGAATGCTGACTACATGGAACATGAACAGGCCAAGAAGGAGATCGTCAGGGCAGGGAACCAGGTAGAATTTATAGTAGAAAGGTAAGTTCATGAGAAGATAAAGTGGGAATGATTGAATTGGGACCACTTGTAGAGTTAGTTTGAAAGAGGTGTTCAAGGGATCAGTAGGTCATGTGTGTGGTCACGGTTTTATGTGGTCAATTATGATATTGCCTTCAAAGTATTCATTTGTAGATTAACAGATACATATTGAATGTTGGTATTAGAAACAGAATTGCAATATCAGCAGATACATATTGAATGTTGGTATTAGAAACAGAATTGCAATATCAAGTGGATACCACTAATCCTATATTCTCCTAAGTAAGGTAAAATAATCTTGATGTAATTTGAGAAGTATGTACATTATTTGATAATGTGACATTACATGTGATTGTGAAAAAAATAAACATAAACCTTCATCTGAGGGGTTCTATTATATTACATAGACTAAATAGACTCAGGGTATCAAAACTAAATAGTCCCCAGTGACTCACAAATTTATTTTTGATATTTGTATCGTCTGTATATATACATACATGTGAGTCACAGTGATAAGCTATTTTGGTACTTTTAGTAAGCTGTTTCTTAAATATAACAGTATGGTTGATGCCAGAGGTTGTTTTCCTCGGCACAAGTCTGACATTTTACATAGTCTTTATTTTAAAGTGTGAAGAAAACCAGCTTCTTTCTTTTTGTTAATCTTTGAATGCAGAATAAGTGGTTAGATTCAAGAGTGTTACACGTGCCACTCAACATTTTCCAGGCTCTTTCTGACACGCAGCCACACATATATTTGAATTAACAAGTAAATTGTGTTTGTATTCCCATTAAGAGTTTTGTTGAAGACTGTCTTCATCAAACAGAAGTGACTTTCCCTTGTTTGATTTGAATGGAAGATCAAACTTGAATGATTAGACTAAAAATATGTTTTTTGATGTCTTTATAGGGCCTATTCTATTTTTAAAAGAGGAAAGAATGATGTTAACTGTGTTATGTCAGGCCCGTAGCCAGCAAATTCAAAAGGGGGGTTCTTTTTCTGAAAAAGTGGACCTTTTATAATGAAACTTATGTGTACCTAGATCAAATTTTACCCAAAATGGACCTTTTCCTGACAAAAGGGGTGGTTCTTTCGAACCTCCAAACCCCCCTGGCTACGGGCCTGTATGTACTGTATATAAATACCGATGTCACAGTACTTGGCAAGTGTGTATTAGTTTGTTATTGTGCTGGAATCATTGTATTAAAAGGTGCCTAAAGCAACAACTGACACAGTACCTCCAGCCAGTTATATTCCCTCAGGTCATGTTAGATGAGCCAAACATAGTAATTATTTAACAATCATATTCTGATGGGAATTGGAAAATGAGTATATCATTTGGTTGTTCAAATAATAAAAATTGTGTTCATATCTTTTATAATTACTTGCAATAGTACATTAAGAATTTGAAACACTGAGGCTATCTTAAATCAAATTGAAGTTAGAGATTAAATGTTTTACAAGTCTGGTTGTTGAAAGAGTTGTTCATAATTGCCAATAATATTGTTTTACAGAGGTGGGGTTAGAATTTGGAAACCCAAAGTCACGCCCATGTCTGAACTGCGACCTGGGGAGCTGCAGACCCATGGCGTTCCTAATGAACCAGCTCCTATACAGAGGACATCACTGGCACACCATGAAATACAGGTAGATAGTAGTGCTTTTAACACAGTGTCTCAACTTACACAATGTCACAACAAACACAATGTCACAGCTAACACAATGTCACAGCTAACACAATGTAATATGCATTGTGCTGCCTCAGGTCACACAATGGTACACAATGTGTGATGTCACATGTAATACACCTTGTGTACTGTCTTGCCTGTCATAACATCACACCCAATGTAGTGGTATAGCATATGTTCTGTCACTTCAAGCATAGCAACATAACAAACACTGTGTTATATCAGATGTTATGCACACCAAGCACAATGTCTCACCAAGTGCAATGTCACACCTAACACAATCAAATCTTTAACTGGGCTACACTTCCACACTTTAGCATTTATAAACTTGGCACTCCTCTTTTGAAGTATTTTCCGATAATTCTATTTGTATGGTGTGATGCAAGCTGCCAGATGATGAGTGAAGTGTATCAGTGCCCATATGACATTTAGACGGAAAATTTGCTCAATTTTAACTTTCAACATGCAGATGTACACACACATCATTTCCACTCATAATGTTCTCTTTGTTTTTATCCTAAAACATTCTTCCAATGCATAACTACATTTTACACCATTCATGATGAGTTGCCAAGCTACACCATGTGATTGAGCCATATGTTAGGAGCAGGTGTAGGATTGAGATCTGGTTGGAGGCCAGATGTTGCAGCAGATTGGCAGTCTAAGCTCATGTCATTTTTATTGTCATCATGCAAGCAAGACCAGTCTCAAGTACATGTAATAGGAAGAAACAACTCTTAAGGAAAATCCAGTTTAGTAAACATCGTGACAGTCTTGAGTGCCCTGAAACCAATTGTGGTTTCTCCAGAAAACCAGTTCTTCCCACTACTACTGCTACACACTCGTGCAGCTGTGAAAGATTCATATTTAGATTTAACCTAGAAGCAAAAAAGTATTTTTGGTTTTTATATGTAGACAGTCTGGGAACAGAGAATAACAAATTTATTCAAGACAGACCATACTTGTTGTTGAGGTGAAATTATCTGATTTAAAAAAAATCCTGTGTCTGTCTTGCCTAATGGTGATTGAATCTATTTTTTATATTATAAATTTTTTTGCCTGTATATGTACAATCTTTGGTATTTAGTTGCTGTTCATCATATTCAGTTGACATTTCCAACATGTCTGTATGACCTACAATTTTAGTAAAAAAAATTCAGAAAACATCTTCAGCACCAGCTAACGTTTTGCATTTTTATGTGCTCTATTTGAGTAGATCTGCATTGCCTCACCTAACAGGGTTCATAACAAATCTTAACAAATCAACACATTAGGAGAGCCAGCCTTAGACTTGATTTCTAGCTTAAAAAAAGATTTGATGTCTGTGACATTCAATTATACCAGCACCATCAGAACTGACATTTTCAAAAGGCATTAAGACCAGCAAAACTTTATGTGGCGTTTTTTTTGCCAACATCCACTTATACAATGTTCATGGTCTTTCTCTGTGTCTTGTTTTGGAAGGTCTCTATGCTGGGAGGAAATTGATCTGGGAATTTGGCCCTAGAGATGATGATTCACATATTTTTCATGAAAGCAAGCTGTCTCAGGTGAAGCTGTGCCATAACATAGGATTTCTTCCAACATTAGCTAACCATTACTCCTCTGAGCAAGGTTCCAAAGAGTTCTCTTGGACACCAAAAGATAGACATTCGCTTATCCTAAATGGAAATAGATCAAAACCCTTAGTTTTTAAGTTGATGAAGACCAACTTTCAGCCTTATATTATTTTATAAAAAAAAGCCCATGTGAAGTTAAAGGATTGTGAGGAGTGATTTGCAGTTGTTAATGATGTGCACTATTCATAAAAGAACTCTGTAAAAAAAAAAAAAAAGACAAAATTGCTTGAATCTATGCAAAGATGCACATGCACATTGAAAGATACATACACTGGCAAAAACAAATGCATTCACACTCTGACAAACATACCACAATACAACAGCTTCATCAGTGAGACAGCTTTACTTATTAGTCAGAAAGCCCCTACCCTGAGCCTGCCCAAGAGACTACACTCTTATACATCAATCTACAAAGAAACTCAATTACAAACTTCTCTGCTTCATAAACTCCTAGGGAAGATATAAATGACATTCTGATTGGCCACTTTGATACCTAGTGACCACAACACTGGGCACAACACTGGAACCACTGGGCTATGACTATGATCAAATGCTTCTGGCATTTTGAAATCTGATAGTCAAATTAGTTCCATAACAATGAGAGCTTGTGATGTCATTTAGTTTTTTGTCTGTTTAACAAAGTGGCAAAAGTACATGTAGTTCAGTCTTGAGTTTAATCTTGTAAAGGTGGCAACCACATGTAGAAGAGTTTGGTTACACTTGTCTGTAAATGGGGTTTCAGTCTCACATATGGTTGATCAACTTTCCCTGGTCAGGATAAATATAAAAAGACTTGGGTAAGTTGATTGTACTTCATTGTACAGAGACCACAGCTAATGACTGGCATTGCATAAAAAGTATATGTATCCGTATGGTGTTATAAAAAGCTAAACTGATCAATCTGGGACAGGGTTATCCAGCTACCTTCATATGAACTAGGTTTTTTATTACATTATGCAGAAGCCACACCAGTCTCTGCTGGAGATAATGCAACCAACATTGACAGCCATTTTTAGATTGGTTGGTCTTATTAAACTGTTTAGTCTATTTTGGGTGAATTGTTATCACATTATAAGCAAACACAGTATCTGTATGTATATATTGGACCCTTGTTCCATTGCAGCTGCTGTATTTATCAGCATTTCACTTACACATAATATGTCAAATACAGTTTAGCACTTAGGGTGTGGTCCCATATTGGCTTTCTGATGATATTTTATTGGTTAAGAAATATGTAGGCCAGAATGTTTTTCTACTGAAATAGCAACAGCTAAATTCTTGGCTAAATTTGACTTCAATTCCTTGTGGCCATAACCTTAACACAGCTTGCTCAATCATTTTTTGATCCAAATTTTTCTTCTTGCTCACAGGCAGGGTAACATAATAACAGCTGATGAGAAAGAAACAGTTAACTCTCAAGAGAACAATAAACATGATGTGTGAATGATGGTGAAGATTACTTATGGTTTTTAATTGAGTTGGATTGCCAAATGGATCCTCTGCTTATAACCATTCATACATGAAAAAAAACTAGTAATTTCACTTTGAAGTATTGATCTCAGCTTGAACACCATGAGTGTTAATGAGCCAGAGTGCAGTGTAGGTTTGTCTTCATGTCACAGAGATGTCTTATACTGTACATGGTTGATTATACTTGTACTGATCAACATTGCCAGCATGACTAAGTGATCTACAATTGGAAAAAAAATCAGATACTTTTCCTCATACTAGCGAACATTGTGATTTTATACCTGCACTCTCTCATCACCAAACCAAACTGACTTTTAAAAGTATGTTCCTAATGGAACATACTTTTCTCTCTCTCTCTCTCTCTCTCTCTCTCAAGGAAGGAGGAATGGAGGGGATTGTGCATATGAAACTTGTACAGACAAAAGTAACTTTCATTAGCTGTCTTACTGCCTTTAACCCTCCATTCATCCACCAGTTTACTGCAGCATGGTGCACAAAAAGCTGTCCTCAAGCAGAGTTGAAAAAAAAATGGAAGGTGTTTGCAAACACTTAGCACTCTGGACTATATTAGCTTAAGAGGGCTAAAGCTGACATATTTGGAGACTATGTTTATAACCCTGGCAGCAAATGTTGGTTGTTGTGACCTGTGTATTTGGTGACTCCTCTCTTGAGCAAGTTATTATTGACACTCGGTGAGAGTCATATGCCACTCAGTCACAGCACAACCAGGCTGCTTTCAGTTAAATGAATCAGTCATAGTTTCATAAAATGCTCCTAGACCAATATCACAGAGTTGACTAATAGAGCTCAGACTTTCTGCTTTTTATGAAACAAGGCCATTTGTATTCAGTTGCACTTAATGGGTGGTATTCTTGCTTTGGTTGATTTTACTATTGACATACATGGTGTTCCTGTATTATGTATAGGTATTAACCTAGATTTGCGTCATGCTATTTTTTATTTAGTTTCATAAGAGTGTTAATGTTAAAAGAAAATTATTCAAATTATTTGTGGAAAATTATTTGTGGTTGGAAACATGTATTTTTGGAAAATTTGCTATAAAATTTGGATGTAATTCACTTATTATCTGAAAATGTGATTGGATTATTAACATTAATTTTCTCCATTAATGCCCTCATTATTTTTCATCAGTGTGTAAATATTTCATCCAGGGACTAAAAATGTTCTGGAACTTAAATTGAGAGGGACAAGTGGGACAATTTGGCCTTCTAATGAATATTGCTTGTTGCCATTTGGTTGTAAATGCCATGTTTGAGAAGAATTCAAGCTGAGAATACCACAACCTTTGTAAGTGGTTTCCTCCAGGGTGGTATCACATATTGTAATAATAGAATGGGCTAGAGTTATGTAAAATGAGTCACCTGTGTTTAAAAAATGACTTCGTTGCATTTGTATTTGGCCACATGCAGGCACAAAATACTTGGTCTAAAAGCATCCTCAGGTAAAGCAACAGGCACATATGATAATACCTATTGTTAATACTGAATAACTGATTACCAGCCTGGATTCTTGGTAACATCTTTATTCTTATGACAGAAAAAACAATATTAACTTGTACCAATTAAGATTAATTGTAAAAGGTTCTTGCAATCACATGATTTCAAAATAATTTACTGATGAGTTAAAATAACTTGGTATTCCGCATATATGTATGTTTCAAAATCAATACAGTTTGTATTCGGCATATGTTTCAAAATCAGTACAGTTTTTGTTTTGCTTTATTGATGAAAAGAAAAAAAATATGTACATAAAAATAAGGTCAAACTTGCAGAAACTCAATAAATTATATGTTCATTTATATAAAGGACATGCTTCTGAACTCATCCTTCAAGCAGATGTCATTACCAAATTACTGGGTTTGGTATAAAAACTGCAAGTGTATGATTTGCACGCAAATAAATCATACCTACAAGGAGCTGGAATTCACCTTAATTTACATCTGAATTGAAAAGGGGCCAGTAATCAAAACATTTTCAACAACTCCACCCTGCTTCTTCAAACACTGTTCAATATTGTATGTCTAGCTGTGCACATTGAATTTATTATTGAAGTAACACTTGGCATTAAAACAACAAGATAAAGAAAACAGATATGAAAATGATGATATATTTTTATAAAAAGATGATTTTGCACAAGTGAATAGGTAGATTATTGAAGTACAAGGGTTTGATAAGAGATCTATTAATTATTGTAAATGGTTTTGCTAAGATGTGATAAAGTGCAGGTTATGTGCCATGTCACTTGATTGATCAACTTCTTCAGTGATGGCAGATTATCATGTAGTGCTTGCAAGTTCTATATTAATACCATCCAACTGTTCTTATACTGGTATATACTGTATTATTTAATGGATATTTAAGGCTATGGACCATTGGCTAAAGGTATTCCAGTATATTTAAACTGTTACGGTATGACAGCTCTGAATACTGAATGATGTTAATGTTCTAGAAATTTAAAAAACTTGAGTATTGAAGATTATTGCAGTAATTATCCTATCAACATCAGTAGTGCTTCTGTTGTAACTGGAAATGAGAGATGTGTGGCTAAAAAAGTTATTTTCCAATAATCTCTGAACTCAGGGTGGTTAAAAAAACTAGAAGGTACAACAAAAACTTTTCCTTGGTTTCCTTTGGTACTCTGTTCACAAAGAAGGTCACAAAAAGAACATGCCAGCCCCTCCCTTAACAATATATATGTTATTACACCTTTCACTTATGTGAGTACATCTCTTTTTTACAAGAAGATGTACATTGTTCATCTGCCCTTCAATCAGAGGTTCATAAAAGTATTTGCTCTCTATGATTGTAATGAAACCTAAAATAACCTTGAAAGTATTTTATGAATCCTTGCCAGAAAACATGCAACCTGTTATTTTATTTGTAATGCCTGGGGTCTAATGATACATGCAAAATGCATTGCGTGTTCATGAAAATATATATTTCAGCATCTACCCTGTAGATTATGCCTCCTATTGCTATATGTGCCACATGTATTCATGTTCCCCATCATCAGATACAGAGCAGAGTCCAGTTCATGTTTGTTTTCACAAGAGAATTGTTAACCTTTTCCTGCCTTTTGACAACTACACATGACTACATGTATGTGGAGTGATACCTCATCTTTGATACAAGCCAGCTATCTCATTTAGATTATGCCCAATCCCAGCACAGTTGTGAAGGCTTATTAAAGCACCTGACCTCAGTTTCACAAAAAAAGTCAGTTCCCTGGCTTAGTTGACTAGGGTTTTCATGAGAGTGTACACTGCTCTTGATAGGGTAAGATATGCCCATGTGACCATGTAACCTTGGTAACTAAGTTTTTAGCCAGGGAACCTGACTCAAGTTTTTTTGTGAAACCGATATGTAATTTATGATAAACTCATCTGAAGGATGCATTCTAATATGTTTGTCGTTCCACAACCAAATTATTATTATTATTATTATTATTATTATTATTATTATTATTATTCAAGTATGTCAGATGTTAACTTGGCTTCCTTTGGGTTAGAAATAGTCGTCACACCATCTTCCCAGATAATGTGGCATTAAGTGAAGCAATCTTAACTTGACTGGAATCACAACTGTATATGGCTCTAAGTTAAACCATCTTAACTTGACCGGAACCACAACCACAGGTGTGCCTTCAGGAGAGACTCTGGAACTGATACACCTAAGATGGACTCCCAGAAGGGTACATCCTTAAGGAGGGATTAGACACTAACATTTCTGTGTCTGATTAAACTTAAGGGTACTTCATAAGAGATATCTTCAGTTGATACACTCAAGGGTGACCTGATGCCTCTTTAAGTAAACTATACAACTGATAAATGTATTTGGGGGGAGGGGATGATAAAATTGAAGCACCAGCCCAAGCACTAATTGATTAAACTTAAAGGTGCTTTAGAACTGATAGTGTCTTTAGAGGACACAGGGTTGCTTGATACCTCTTCATAGCTAGTAAAACCTAACAACTGATAAACATATTTAGGGGAAGGTATCACTAGAATATAATACTAGGCCAAGCGTTCTTATGTTGACATTATTCTTTATGGATTACTTTATAGCATACTGAATTCACCATCTTTTTTTTCATAATTTTAATATGGCATCAAATTACCATCAGATCTGTATAAATGGTAGAAAAGTTTTCCAAAATGTGGTCACTGTGACATTTTAATTATTGTTTTTTTTTATTTTTAGTTAATGTTTTATTTATAATCTCTCCACTAGGGTCCCAGCACTATTGGTGTTGCTCATAACCGTGCTGCCCGTCCGTTTGGTGCCTCCAACCTGAACCAGCCCCCCTCTGGGTACAAGCCAGGGGTGGTCCACTCCCAGTTCAACACCCCCATTGGTCTGTACTCTGCAGACAACATTGCCGACACCTTTGTATCCCAGACTGCAGCCATGTCAGAGTAAGTCATCCAATTTCTATGAATATAATTGAAATGTTTTTGTAAATTTTCAATCAGATGTTTTGATTTTTTTAAACCATGTAGTGGGTATTAGTCATGTTGCGCCAGAGACCTCGGTCTTGCATTGAGATGTTTTTAAAGATTTATGACAAATGCAAATGTATGAAGCAAAGCTGGAAGTATAATTATTGTTAATGCCAAGCTTTCTGTATAAGTCCTATTTTTTCAATTTCCTTTGTTCCAGAATATGTTGTGACTTGAATGCAGTTTCCTTTTCAATTGAAAAAAATTTAATTCATTTAAAAAAATCATTAAATGCCCAAAAGCTGTCATGTTTTTAATGAATCACTGGGTAATCTCAGCCAAAGACTGCCGAAGAGTATAACTTCCCAACCAGGGCAAAATTATATTAACTGCTGGTATTAGGGGTTAGATCCAGTAATACAGTAAATCGATCCTAGACCTTATATATTTTTTCGAATTTGATGTCCTGTTTTTTGTAGACTGCGAGGGCAACCTTTGAATGTTGGGGTATCTGACTACCAAGGTAGGATTCCTGGAATTTTGAAACCCTGGAATGCCTTGTTGAAAAACTTGAAAAGTTCTTGAGATGTTTGTTATTTCTCCACACTATAGGGTTGACATACTAACACGCATGGAGTACGTTTCAGTGCCTGCCTTCTCAGTTGTCAACAAAAGCATAAAGATGGATTTGGCAGTTGTCATTAATGTGGGATTTTCTTTCTACTCCCAGTGGAAAGGTGACACTGGGTTTCATTAATTCTGCCCTGGTGCAGTGTTCTGTTGGCAAATGAATGGAAAGACATGCTGAATGCAATCATGCACACAGAAGATGTACTTTACAGTCTGAAGGGATGAGTTATGGAGGAGATTTGTTTTCATGTTTTATTGGCAGGGCTTAAAATTACAAGGGTTATGAAAATATTTCCCATGTTTTGAGAATAGATAATTCTTAAATGTCTCCCTCACAATAATATTGAATGCTAAAACATTTATAAGCATTCGGTCTGTTAAAGCTTTTACAGTACACCTTTTTCCTCAGTGGATTCCATGTTAATTAGCCAAAAGACTTGGTGGAATATCCTTATTGGGACATGACAATAAGAAAATAGGTTTATTAGCCTGTCCCTACACCACCACTTCCTAACGAGTAGATAAGTATTTCATAATTGCTTAGGGAAAAAATGCACTCTAAAAATAGCTTCCCATCTGCTCTTGAGAACTAGCATGTTCAAAAGCAAAAAGAAAAAAAAGAAGATAGCGTCAACACAGCTGAGTGAGCAAAGAAATGGCGTAACTGAAATAAGAAATGTCTGCACTGCCATTTCTCAAAGCCGCAGGTGATGTAAACACCTGTTTTTGTGAATCATGCTGCTGACACCTGTTATGGTCAGTGTCACACACAGCAGATACTGGTCATTGTCTTGTATTGTCTCACATTGCTGCAGGTCTATGTGTTCTGTAGTTGGCATGGGAATAATGTAGAAACAGATTGATACTCCATACTTTATGACTAAAAGTCTACATCATATTTTAATGTTCCACATCCATGCAGAAAGATGTGCATAAGAACACTGTTGAGGAATTATAAGGGCACTTGACTAAACCTCATCACATTATTGATTAATGCTGGTAGTTTAGATACTTAGAATTAAGATGCTGTGGGAAAATGCATCAGGGCACCCTGACAGGCACACCTAAAAGCTACATGTACATGTTCTGCCACAATGTATGTTATATGCTTCAGGTGAATGTGTTGACTTTGTGGGAAAATGCATGAAAAATTCCAAAAGTCAGATATAGGTTTGATGCTATCATGGTAGCAATTTTGCAAAATATAAATGAAATGAATAAATGAATGTTATGTAAAGACTTTAAAGAAATGATAATAGTTTCTGGGATTCATATCCATTCTACTTTAAATTTTACACCCCTTTCAAATTTTTGAAATAGATGAAATGGTATTTTGAAAGATGAAATATCTTATGAAAAAGAAAATATAGGATCTTCCCCATTATTTCAATTTATTTTGTGTCTATGAACTAATTAAACTTTAAAAGAGTTGTAATGGCCTTTAAAGAACTAAACAGTTCCTCTTGGTGGGTATCTACACTTTAATTGCTGGTCACCCAAGAAAATAACTAGTATTTTTTATTACAACTTCCTGTATCAGATTAAATTGTTGTTTCTTTTCTTTTGTCTCCTTTTGTGAGTGGACATAGTCCAATAGTGTTCATGGTTTTTGCAGGCAGTGTATGCAGAAAACCTGTCCAACAGGATTGTGCATGTGATTTGAGATGTGTTTTGGCTTGTTGTGTAATTTTTTTCCTAACTGCATGTTTGTTTGATAATTTTTTGTAGCCTAGATATCAATGATCAGGCAGATGGCAATTTTCCACCTCCACCACCACCAATTGCAGCCCCAGCCCCAGCTCCAGCCCCATCCCAGCATTCATCAGCAACATGGCGGCCGCCTTCTCAGACTCCGCAGGCACCACCTGTGAAGATACAGCCAGCACAATATCCTCCTCCTCCTCCCTCTCAAAAACTTTACACAGGGGCACCACCCCCGGCACCACCAGCTCCTCCAGCACCACCAGCTCCAAGTGGTTCCAGAGCACATGTGGTCTCAAAAGTGGCGCCACCTTCAGCACAGCCTGTAAAAGTTGCTGGAATTGCACCAAAGGCGGCACCTGAACACGTAAATGGAAATCACAAAAAAGGCGAAGAAAATGGCAACCATAATTTGCCAGCAGATGCCCCCCCTGAGATCTCGCCCACTTTGTTAGCATTGCAGGAGGAGCTGAAGGCCCAGCAGAGAGGAGAACAGGAGGTGTTTAAAGGTTTGGGGATGTCCAATACAGAGAATCACCAATCACGATCATTCCGCTTGTTGAAGGAGGATTTAGACAGTGGTGGAACAGGTAGTTTAAAATTGTTGTCCTCTGTCCTGTAAAATAATCAACTGCCAGTGATATAAAAGGGAGAAATGCATAAATAATTGTAATTGTGTGTTGTTGTGTTATGTTATGTGTAGTTATTTTTTTTTAGTTTGTGCTTGTTGTACTGTTTTGCGCTCCCAAATTATGTTACTGGTATATTTTTTTCTTTTTTTTTTCTGCAGTATTACAAGTTTTCCTAACACTTGCCTCATGTTGGCATGTGCAATGTTTGTTGTTTGAATTACTCATTATTTTTATTTACAAATTCTCAATTACCCATATTTTGCACCACAGCGTGTATGAGACTTCTGGTGATATATTTTATGTGTTGATTAACTAAATTACAGCTGTTGTTCAAAGAGTTCATTATGTGCCTGCACATCATGAACATGAACATGAAGAAGAGGGTGAGTTGAAGCATGGTTTTATGTTTGACTGCTGCAGGATTCCTGTCTTTATTTTCTGATAATATAAATCAGATTTCTCTATTTTTTTTAGTCCTTCCTATTTTTTTCCTTCTTTCTTTTCATATATATTCATGCATTAAATTATTTATGTATGATGTATATTTAACCACAAAATAGATATGTAGATTTTAGAATCTTTTATTGTAAGTATCATTTAGTATTTTGTGAACAATTTACTAAAAGTTTGTCAGTATACAGGAATTGAAAGTTAAATGGTATTGCTACTAATTAAAAAAAATACAAGGAATTAAAACCCTGCAGCAGTCAGAAAGATAATTATGGTTACAGCATGCTTTGCTTCAGTTAAAACAAAAATGGGAAGGATGTTATTTATTTATTTGGTAAAGGTGGACAGAAACACCACCATGCATGAATAACAAATGAAGGGGCTTGCGGATATATTAAAACATTTGAAGAAATATAATAAATTTTATTATACCAAAGGATCAAAATAAAAAAAAGTTTCTGTTTTTGATAACAAAAAATGGTTTTTGATTTGTGAAATTATTATCAGATTTTGATCCTTTGGACATTTAAAACAAGATATACTCTATCCATATGTACAACACACACACACACACACATACACACACACACACACACACACACACCGTTGTATTGAACATGTCAGTGTACGTCAGTCAGGTGGAGGTCAGAGGTCAGGGGTCACATTGCTACCAACATCATGTGACAGTGGGTTACTGGGAAGGGTACTGTAGCAGAGAACAATGACTGATAGGAGTGAGAGGAGAGTAGCTTTTACTTGCAAATGGGTGGGATTAACCTTTGTCATAGCTTCTTTAACCTTATGGAGATGGTTTATCATGGTATAAATTTGATTCTTTGAAAGATTCGGGTGAATCTTTGGTCTTTTTAATGAAAAAATAAAATGACTTTTGTGTCTAAGGCTTCGTTCACATGCAATGTCTATTTTCTAAATTCTATTTTCTATTCGCGCTATCTTATGATCACGGTCTGTGCACTGAACATCCCGCCGCGTAATTACTGGCAGCGCGAGCCAGTTACTTATAGTAACTTATAGTAACTGGCTCGCGCTGCCAGTAATTACCCGGCGGGATATTCAGTGCACAGACCGTGATCATAAGACATGCCGCAAATAGAAAATAGAATTTAGAAAATAGACATTGCATGTGAACGAAGCCTAAGATAAATTTCCCTTCACAGAATCCTACCACTGAAGATTTTGGTGTAAATTTTGGCATCTGTGCATCAGGTTTGACATAAACAAACAAACAGATCACAGAGGGACTCCTATTGTGTTCAATTAATTTTTTTTAATTTATCATTTTATGAGTTGGTATCATTCAAATGTCACACTGGAAAATATAGTATTTATTGCTAAAATTTCTATTTTCTGTCTATCTCAGGTCAGTCAGTCCCGGGTATGCGCTCTGTGAAAGCCCCCCAGACCAGAGCCCCTGGTGCGCCGACTCAGCAATCTGGCGAAGCTTGCGCCATTTGTGGCATGCTGGTCACGTAAGTTGTCGTCTTGAAAGAATTTCTTTTTTTATTGGCTCGATCTTTCTGAGTGGTCTTGCCTAAATAAAGTGTTCTTTAAAATTTTTTGAGGTGTGGCTATCACTAATCTCAAGTCCTATATGTTGATAACTCAAATTTAATTGACTAGATATCCAGGTGAAAAGATTTGTAATTTTTTAATGTATATTTAATTCAACTGTCACTTTGACAATAATGAGATGTTACAAAGTATTAGTAAATATTAGCTATTTCCTCTTTGGAGAAGAAATACAGAATTAAAACGTCCTAAATGAGTGCATGATGCACATTGTTGATATTAGCTCTTTGAATTTTTTTTATATTTTTAGCTTTTTAAATTAAATTATGTTATTGGACTTTTGCAGAGGAGTGTTTGTTAAAGTGAGAGGCAAGCCCCTCCATGCTGACTGCTTTAGGTGTGACGAATGCAGGAAGAGTTTAAAAAATCAAGGTATTTCCTCAATTTAGGAACTGAACTAATGTTTTAAATGAATAGCATTTGCTAATTTACCAGATGTCGTGGACTGTGGAGTCTTATACTTGAAGACTAAATGCAGGTAAATGGAGTGGTATTTGCAGATAGGTTGAGTCCTATATGTGCAGATGAAGTGAAATGTCACAATTTGTGTATGGTTTATAACATGTAAATTCAACAGTTCATACCAAGAATTCTGAAGATGTTAGGAAAACAAAATATGAAATAAATGTGCTTGTTAGTTAAGACCATACTTAAGTCCAACATATTTGTTCATTAAGGATTGAGAGAATGACATTTAGATTACATAAATGATATTTAAAAAAAGATGAATATTTGTAGCCAACAGCAGCTATTTACCACAGTGATTTGTTTACTTTGAAATCAGGTTATTTCTGGATTAATGACCGTATGTATTGTGAGGAACATGCCAAGAAGTTGACCCAGCCCCCTGACCCTGACCTGGTAGCAGTCCCCATCTACAGGTGAGAATAAACAGCAGATAGCGCCATCTAGTGTTTAAAATGTTTGCATACATATATTTTATCTGTTTACAAAAAGAAAAAATGTCACCAAAATCTGTAGTTGAAAATGTTATTAGATTTTATGTTACAGTTTTTCAAGTTCAAAAGTACTTCTTGTTTTTTCCCCTTTTGTCACATATATTCAGTCAACTTTGGCTGATTCCTATGCAGATTTTGATGAATTTGTTTCAAAATGTTACCTAGGAATCATTTAAATTACATGCTTTCTTGCTTGAACAAGAAAACAATAAATTTGTGGCATATTTCATTCTAGTATTGAGAACAGGAATGGCATTTAACTCATACTAGTAAAGATTTAAAAATGTCTAAACCAGCTTTATTTTCGTACAAAAATTACTCAGTACATGTTTGTATTTAATGTGTGTGTGTGTGTTTTTTTTTTTTTTTTTTTGATGGTTTCAAATTTTGATGCATATCTTTTATTTTCAGATAAACACTTATTCGGAACATAAAAATGTTTCTTGTGTCAAGATGGAAGCTGTGTGAACTTTGACGTGTGAAGCCATAATATATTAAGATGACAGGGTACAGGCCCAGAGGACAATTGGGGGGGGGGGGGTAATTTTGTGTGGGGAAATCATATGGTGTCTATGAGTAAAAACACCACTTATAAAACTACACAATGTTACATTATTTATTTTCCCAAACCACTTGCTGCATTTTCACGGAGTGCATGGAGCATTGTGTGAATTAATCAGCTATGAATACAGTGAGTTGAAGCAATAAATGAAATATAAGCACCTATTGCCACATTATAAGGTTGAAATATAAAAAAAACTTTTTATACATAATATCTAATAATTGTTATCCTCTCTTCCAATTGTCTATTATATAATTTGCTTCTTCCAATCAATGTAAACATATTTTATTTGAAAGACATTGAATTAGTAAAAGGGGTTTTACTTCAAACAATACTATTTTGAAATTTTTTATTGTTATGCAGCCCCATTAGTGAATGCCAGGTTGGTCCCAATGTATAAACCATGTTATACAAGAATTAAGTTTATCATTCACTGTTTACATGCAGTTAAGAGAAAGATTCATTCTACACATTTGTTAGAAGTATTTTTTTTTCTTTTTCATGAAATTCTTCAATTGTTTACTGTTTTCTTTGTTTATGTTGAAATTTTACACCAGTTGGTGAAAAATGTTGCAACTGCAGATGATAAGATGGAAAAACAAAAGGGCACACAAACCAAAAAAGTGGGTGGTCCCAGGTGTCAGCTGTCACCAAAGACTGGGAAACATTTATAAAAATTCTTCTACACAAAGATTTTTGTGAATGTTATGTTATTTAGCAAGTAGACTTTATTATTAGGGTAGCAACCTGTAAAAGATCTAGTACGAGAATATTTCTTACAGAAAAGTAAATTTTGGCACAACTATTTTAAATGTAAAGCCAGTGTATTTTATAACACTAGAAATCATTGTTTAGTATTTACAAAGCATGAAGGCATTATACTTACACCCTTGTAACCTTTATATTATGTTATTTATTTATTTCAAAACCTACAGTGTCATTGTTTAGCTTGGCTAGAAAAATTATTTAACCCACATGCCAAAGTATTATCATTTCTCTTCATATTTATATACATTTTATTCTAATATAAGTCCTTGATATCATTCACTATTTAGTTTTTTCACACCATCTAGTCGAAATCCTTCATTTGATTTTTTAGTGACTTATATGAAAAGCAATACTGTTGTGCTGCATACCAATTTGAATTATACAGTTTAAAATGCTTGAGGAGATGTAGATGTATTATGTTTTTGCTAAGGAATCCACTATTTTCAGTCATACTTTAGTGGCAATATTTGATTTTTTTCATATTACATTGTAACTCTTTGCCCTCTGAATTAAGTTTGCTGGAAAGAAAGAACTCTTGTTTGTTTACCTTATTTTGATGAAGATATTTATACTACGGGATTTGAATCAGTGGTTAAACTCATATTTTTCAGCATTTTTATTATTCTTGAAAAACTATTTGAAAATGCCAAATTATAAAAGTTCAAAAAAAAATTAATACTTATATTTAGTTACGTGACGTGTTTTTTTTTTTTTTTTCATAATGTTCCTGCTGTTTTCCTGCCTATCTTTTTGTTTTTCTTCAATATTGGATATATGTTAACAGTTTCTGGGGGTATTTAATTTTCACTGCAAATTAGATGATATCTACATATATAGTATGACCTGAAAACGTTTTGTGTACATAAAGAATCGAGGTTTTATCTGGAGAGTGAAGTGCAAATTCTGCTGTCCAAGTTACATAGGCACAGATTTTTAAATGTTAACAAGGCAAATTAGGGAGCAGGTACTTCAAGTAGAATAAAATTGAGAATGCTTCCTCAATGGTGTATCAACAATGAAACCTTTGGCCCTAAGGTGCTTACTACAAGCACGGGGCGTGAAAAGTAAGCAAGTGAGAAATAGCATTATAAACTGTCATTCATTATTTTCCTTTATTTTTTTCATGTAGTCTTCCCAAATATCTATACCCCATGTATTTTCCATAAAGAAGAGGAATGTTTAACCTTCCAAACAACCACTGTACTTGCAGATGTATTGCAACTTTATATTGTAAATATTAATTTCCTATCTTATTAAAGTCAAATAAACTGCTTTTGCTACTCTTATTTATTAAAGCTATTTCGTTTTGTCTTTTTGAAAGATTATTTTTAAAGAAGACAACGATATTTATTAGAAAAGTTTATTCCAGGAAGAATAAATGAACAAATGCGTATAAATTGCGGTAGAGGAGTCTGTAAAATGCGCTGCATTGTTTTTTCATTGACGTGTGTACCGCTGAAGAATACTACACAAAGAATCGATTTCTTGAAATGGTGACGATGAAAAATTATAAGTAATCGACTTATTTTGTTTTCTCACATTCGGTTTTAACGCTAACAATGACCCAGAATAGACTATTATGCAATAAGTGTCACAATCAATGATTAATGGTCTTTCGTTCTGAAAATTATGCAGCAAAATGTGTCTCGTCCAAATGTTGCGTACTACTATGAACTTTCCCATCACCTGGAAATCTTTACTTTAAAACTGTCAAGCCAGCTTACGTGAGATTTCAGCACACCTACATATGTTGCATTTCATTATTAGTAAGTACCGATATGGAGATTTCCAAAAAATAATAATTATAATAATAATAAAAATAAATAACAAAATAAAATAAACAAAAATAGAACTAAAGTAGCTTACACAGTACCACCATTTCTATTATTTTTAATTTCTATTTGATTAGTTTTCGCGGGCATTGTCTGTACTTTCGAAGGGTCCACTTATAATTGTACTTCGAAGGGTCCATCTTGTTGAACGTGGTCTTGATTAGAAAGTATAAACAGACTGCAACTGTCGCTCTTTTCACCCTTCGATTTAATCACAGTTAATCTGAAAATAAAGGGAAAAAACATCAAATAAGGACATCACCACTAAATATTTTACGGCATCCAAAAAAGTTCGTAAATTTACTGCAATCGACCGCTATTGCTGAGCCTGCTTATCTGAGCATCTTCAGGTAAAACGTGAATGAGGATCGGTACCTCCATCCCCGACTGCCAAATGTCACCGCATAGCCCGCGAAATATTGAAATATCGGATTGCAAAAATTTTAATGAATTTGGTCGTGGAGGGGGGTACACAAACTACACCTTAGTGAATCGCACAACTGATAGAATTATTATGAATCAATTTAGCGTTGGTGACACTGTTGAAATAGGCTACGTGTTTTGCGTGAATACAATTTTCTCTGGCATTTTTATTGTGAAATGAAATATGGCAAGACATCTATCTTGCTGTATATGGGCATATATATATATTGCTGCATATATGCTTACCCTCTTCCAGGACCAGAGATTGTTTTTTCACTACATATTCACAGATATTGGTCGTCAATTCATGACATTTTTCTACTGTACTGTCCAGAGAGAATGTGTTAATTTCATCCCTCTGGCCTCTAGTATAGAGAAAGATATATACCTATTTCGCCGGCTGTTGTGCCTGCGCGGCATGTTCCTCCTCTGAAAGCTGCATTTGTAGAATCCTGAAGGACCGGGACTGGACATTGGACGCGGCGTGTCCTGGGTGGCCTGACACGGGGCCCTCGGTGTGGCGTAACGTGCCCTCAAATTGCGCGCCAGAGTCGTCCACCGTGTCTCCGGCACCACACTGGTAAGCTGGGTTAGTCAAGTCTATAGCGCCCCTAAAAGTACACCCTTGTGTCAGTACTGAACAGAAATTGTTATATTTCTAAAAAGTGTAGATGCATTCACCTGTTTTAATTGTTTTAGGCTTCTGCGATAAAAGTTTACTGTGCACATTTCCCTAACAATCACCGTTGTATCATGCTTAATTATCTATTATCTTGACCATGTAATGCCAAAAGAAAATGTAAATGTTAATGAATATTATGCAATGTTAAAAGTATTCTTTTAACATGTATCCGGGTCTGCAGTAGTTTACCACCAATTTTCGAACTATTTATGTTCATTAGATATTTTTTAATGGTGGTAACCGAGGCAAAATATGACAATAGTTTTTATTTTATTAAGAATATATCTTACTTCTGCAGAATAAAGTCGAGCTCGTTGCCCGCCCTGATCACTTCCATCTTAGCTTGGTTGTGTGAAAGACCGTTGGCTATTGTATTTCCTATACGGAGGACGGCATCGCCGGCAGCCATGCCATGCTTGGCCGCTATGCTGTTAGGAGTGACCTAAAACACAAAAGAAAGAAAGAAAAATCAGCACCAATGCCAAGTATTAATTATTTCAAAACGAACCTATACAAAGGATAATAAAAACTCACATTTAAATACCGAGTGTGCGCGCTCGTGCGGGGTGGGGGGTAGGAGGGGAAGTATAGGTAATTGGATCCTTTTTTGAAACCTCGTTAACAGTGTTTCCTCATGTAGAGTGCACAGACTGGTCAGGCCTATCCTGGTTTTTCAATAATGTACTTGGGTTATCAGTGTAGAATTCAAGCAGTGGGCGATTCTGAAGTAATGGTAAATACTAAAGTAAAATTATCTTCAAAATGTAACGGCTATTTCACAATCAGACGTACACTTTCGAAATTGAGCATGTTACATTGCCTCTAAGTATTATCAAAACCAATCTAGTGCCCACTCTTTGTCCAATCTGGTAGATGACACTTAGACGAAGCAATCAAAAAATTTTTTTTTTGAAAATCGGTCATAGATTGGCAAAAATATACTAATTTGAATACCCTAAATACAGCTGTTTTTAGTTGTTACGAAGGGTCACTGGAGTTGTGTAATAATTTCATGTAGTGGATATGTAATTTGGTATTGTAATTTATTGCATTTAGTTTGACTAAAGATATCAGTTGTGAGGTATAATGTTGTTTGAAAATCAGTTGGACATAATATAGTGTAACATATGAGACAAAAGCCATTGAATGTTACAAGGGAGCTCTGTTACGGATTTTTCTGTTTTTAAAGCTATTTCAATACATTAAAATAATTACTGTGTCCAAATCCATATTTAGTTCAAAATTCCAACAATCCAAAATTGAAACCACATTTTAACACAAAATTTTGTAGCGTCCGTCCCCCTTGTAGCAAAAGGATAGCAGTTAATCTTTTTTTTAAACCACACTCAGGCACTTATGCATTTCACTACCCATGATAAAATAATATACCTAAAAGGCCAGTAATACAACACACTGTGGATATACCATTTGATTAGTGGTCAAATGTAGCGTCCGTCCCCACCTGTAGCGCCCGTCCCCAATTTGTATTTTTCGCTTTATTAAGGATACACATGCTGAAATGGATTTTAATTAAGTATATTTTGTAAATACTCACTATAATCTATCTAATGTAGCCAAAGGTTGTCACAGACGCATTTGGTGCATTACTTGTAATGAATAAATGGATACATTTAAAACAATGTTATAATATGAAACAATGTTGTTGTTTTTGTTGCTGTGAAACAACACAACAACACTTGAGACGAAGTGACATCACTTGGTTATAGTTTGGACTAAAAAGCCACAGTAAACTTTATCCAAGGTAATAGGTTGTAATGAATTTTGTGCATTTGAGCTTGGAACAATGATGGAGCAACATTTATGTTTTTATTGTTGCTGAGGATGGGTAAACTAAGTCAAAGTAGAAAAAGAAATGCCATAGAAATAGAAGGCATAAGTGAAAGTGCTTTGAAAAAAAGAAAACGAGAAAAACTCAAGAAAGATCCCGAACGTTTGAAAACTGCCAGAGAAAAGGAGAGACTTAGAAAGAAAAAAGAAGAGAAAAGAAGAGACTTAACTTAATGAACCACCCAACATTAGCAAAAGCTGAAAGAGCAACGGAAACTAATAGAATGAGAAAATTTAGAGAGAAAATCCGAGAACAAACAAAGATCAGTGCTTTATCAGAAGCAGGTAAAGCAAGAGAGAAAAGAAAAAAAAAATACTTTCAGCCCAAAGAGAAAAAACAGAGAGATGAAACTCAGTGAAGAAGCTAAAAAGAAAGAGGTCATGAGGGTTAAAGCATGGAGACTAAGGGTTCAGTTACAAGATAAAACACCACAAAGTAAAGACTCAAGCCCGTTTTCATCTTCCTCCACTGAAAAGAGAGCCTTGAAACAAGCAAAGAATGCCCTTCCGAGGTCACCGAGCAGAAAAGCTAAAATTGTAGAAAGGCTAATAAGATCTCCTAGAGTAAACAGCATATTAGAACAGAAAGGAATTATAGCAAGCAAGGAAACAAGCAGAAAGCTGGAGATGGGGGAGATCCTTATGCAAAGTATGTCAGAGCATATAAAGGAAATAAAGTATAAAGGTACAGCATCTGCATCTCAAAATATGGCGTGCAAGGTTTTAACATCAGTGATAAACAAGAAAGGAAAATACAGGGTCAAAAAGAAACTCAACAAGTCAGTGGGACTCAGAAGAGGTGTGGGGAAGACGGGCAGTAAATGGTGGACAACTAATACAAGGAAAATAAGAAATCAGACCACACTACCCATTTTCAAGGTGTGTGTCAGTACGCATTTCACAGCATCATACCCCGAACAAATTTTGAGTGGTTATGCAATACTTTCCGACCCCACTGAGAATCATCACTATCACATTGCGTACAAGGCAAGAGCGGTGTCGCGTCTGATACTTCAAAGCGCGTACTGATACACACCTTGAAAACAGGTAGTTTGGTCCGATCTACCGGTAAATTCAGGATTATTTGGTGCCGAGTCTGGTAGTTGGGTAGGCCTGAATTTGTAATACTTCAGAAAATATCTCTGGATCCGCTTCTGTTATTGATTTGTAAATTTGTTGTCGAACTGTTTATTCCTTTTAATACAGTTAATGTTTTGGAATGGGGATGTAAAAATGACATGTTTTGGTGTAGCGTCCGTCCCCAAGTGTGTTACATACCAAGTCATGAAATTTTAGCACTCTTTCTTAACATGTTATAGTCATTCTTATGGTCAGGCCTTTGTCATATCAAAATAAGATTTCAAATCATTGATGGAATCCCCTGATTTGATCTTAATCACACAACATTTTATTTTTATTTGCAAAAGAAATGTGGCCATGCATCATGAAACCGCACATTTTGGAAAAAAAATAGCTCACAGTTGATTGAAATTTTGAGGTTTTCATTGCATGTACAATTCATGTGTATAAAATTATGCTTATTAAAATAAATATTTTCCAATTATTATGTTTTAATTATCATGTGAAAGTAACTGACTTGTAAAAATGTAGCGTCCGTCCCCTGTTTGAGACCATCCAGTCATTTTAGTGTCAAACAAAAACAAAGAGAAACGGTGCAAAAACATTTGAAGGGATTATGCCCAAGATCTATACCAATGTCCTACTGATATTCAAACCTCTGTTTGGTGAAGTTCATATTTGGTCGAAAGTGGACCATAAAGTGTACATCTGATTGTGAAATAGCCGTAAGGGAGAGTAATGGTTGATTGCTATCCAGTTAGGTGTACTCTGAATTTAATCTTGGTCGCTATCTATTTTTATAAATTAATGTAAATATACAATCAGATTGGTTAATTCACCTTTCATTCAAAGAAAATAAAGTCAAATACACAAAAAATCAGGGAAGTTAGGGGTTACTTAGAAAATCAAACAGACCATGAATGTGTGCCTGGTAAAATATCATTTGGGGTTATCTTGTAATGAGTTGGGCGTTATGTTGGCCGATGTGATTCTATACCTGAGGCACCACTAAAATTTAGGATCCAAAATAGTGTTGGATCCTAGCTAACATCTGATCCTTATACATCTTGATCAAATGTCTCCTGTAAGTCAATTCACAAATATAGATCCCATTTTAAAATATGGGACCTACATGTACATGTACCAGTAAAATTGGTTTCAAGGGAACTATAGCCGTCTTTAGGAGAATCAGCAACACTGTTCAAATCCATCAAAGCACAGAGCAAACAATATGCAGGGAATACAGATTCATTCATTCTGCAACTTTTAATCAGGTATTTCAGTAAAACTAGTTGCTAGCACAGATCTAATAAGGAAATTAACAGCAGGTCCAGATGCGCAGCAGATGGGAGTACGCTATCTTCTGGTGTGGCAGTTTAATAACAAAAAAATCTTTTCTCCTCCATGAACAGTGGTCCTAGGCGAGCTATGATTATTTATAACAATTTAAAGAAACGATCTGTTTTATTTGAGCAATCGGCCATGTTTTCTTATTATTTTTACTACGATTTTCTTGTCAGAAAAAATACAAGATTTCTTCACATTAAAAAACATTGGATATTCCATACAGATGGTATGAAATTTAAACCTGTCTGATTCATAAAATGATAGTTGCATCCAAGTGTTTCACCTTACGGCGAGTATTAAAGACCTGTTACCCTCTGATCTGAAACCTACACAGAACCTCTGTACTATAACAAGGTACAGAACCCACGCACTGTTGTATATATATATATATATATATATATATATATATATTTAACGATGTTGTCAAACTTCGCAACTTGGGCACAGCAGATAAATAAGTTGATCCTGTTAACGACTTGGGTAGTATAATAAGTGTGATGTTACCTGCACTAGTGCCATACTATCATCTTCGTTAATTAGTATTGAATACACATGCAAACACGGGGGAGTGGGCCAAATTAATACAAAACCTGCCTTACACATCGCATATTCAGTAAAGCAATATACACAAAACCATCTCTGTCTTCCACTAGCAGCTGACAGACCGGCATTAACACATCATTCACTTGGCCTAGATATTTACGTGGTGAATTCCGGGAAATTCAATTAACGAAGCGACTTCAGCATACCAAGGTGCTATGGATTTCCTTAGACCCCTTGGAGGGGGGAAGTAAACATTGGGTAATATGTGCACACACCACGTGGATTTAACAACTCAAACATCTGGCAATTAAGATTTCTGCGGGTTACGCATCCTTGTTTTAACAAATAAATCCCAAGGCTAACTGCAAAAAAAGATAATAAAAATTTCGGCCACAAATTTCTAGATCTATTTTGCAATTTTTGCGAAAATGTGAAAAAAAAACACCGGGATAAATATTCGCCATTCTACAGTGCCATCGGTTTGTTTGTGTACGCGATCCTTTGGTTAATGATGATGCAGTACTCCATCCTTTTAAGGCAACCGGACCAGGTAGACAGCTACCTGTGGTGTTTCAGATCATCTGGAGGCCAATACCGCGAGCGTAATACTAATAAAACAAGTGCAAATGCCGTTAATCTCTACTCTGGTATATGGAATATACCCCCGCTTGACTGTCTGAGTGATTGTGAGCGCGTGTGCTTTCCAAACAAAATTACCCTGCCGTAAAACTATTACCATTATAAAAAAAAACGTAAGGAAGAAATTGAGGGTTGCAGGCCTACTATGAACGCCGTGATTAATTTAATATAATTTGATTACGTGACCAATGATAAACAGATTACGGTTAATATAATAGCGTCTTAAAGTTTCCCCGCACATACTCCTAGCTGTGCAAGACAGCTCCCTTCATCACCTTACTTAAGTGGAGCATGGTGCCAGAGCATGTACTCCGAAGTGGTAGTTTTTTGTACGTAATAGGAACCGATGTTTACATCACTAATTCACTTAAGCTTCAGTTGTTCACGCTAACTCTCACAGACCACATATCACTAGCACTGCGAGTAGCTTCGAATCTAGTTATAATCCACATGATAAAAGGAATTACACATTAAAATGGATTAAACTGTAGGTATATCGGCACATTTGCTACAGTCAGATTAATAAGTGCATTTCGTTTAGAATAATTGTTTAGAATATCATTCAGGCTCTTTTGCTGTACCGGCATTCGGGCATAGACTTGAGGCACGTATACAATCCTCGGCCGCATAGCATCCCCTATACACGTTACCTTGGCTAAATAAAGTGGTAATCCAAAGTCTGCACCCCCTTGCAGCGTGAAGCCCCAGGACGTACTGGTCTGTTTTCTCCTTAGCCGCACAATATACTGGCCCTCGGCCATTGTTTCTGAGAAATATGACGGGAAACGCACAGACGTTTCCTTGAATCCCCTGTCCTGGTTGAAACGCGCACAACAGCAGTCGGATGGGCTTAAGCAGTATATTCCTAAGCAGAATCAAATTTCATTCTCCACTGAAATTAGCGATTTGGGGGGATTCCTTGTATGTCCAGCAGATGGCGATAGTGTGCAGTCACCGAAGAATTATCTACAACAGATGGGATTCACTCAGAGAGATAATAAAGGATGTAAAAGCGGGATAAAATTGCAATGAAAACTCCATTAGAAAATTTTCTGAGATGTAAATCTCTAATGAAGGTTTGACAAAGGCCATGAATGGATCAAGGATGAATGACGTAAGAGAACAGAGAGAATAGTGGCGGGGGATAAAATTAGGAAAATATACCATGAAGGCAAAAAGTAGGTCGATTTATTGAGGGTCAAAAATAAATTTGAGAGAAAAGCAAAAAGAGAACGACATCAATATCCATTCAAATAAAGAAAGTTCAGGAAAGCTCAAAAACCTGAATTCCAATATGACTTTTTCCTGCTATCGATAGAGAGAGACCACTCAAGAAACGGATGAACTTTATGGTTACAGGGACAAATGGCGCTAAGGAAAAATATGGATTTTCAAAATATTCACTTAAGTAGTGTTAGCGTTACACGTATTAGAGTAATAATAATGTGGGAATGTTTTATCATTTGTTATTCCCATCTTGTCCATCATTCCATTATCCATTTCTGCGCACATCACATTCCGCAGTCAAAGAGTGTATTAGATGCGGCCGTCGATTGGTGTGGTAGTTGGGCGTCGACACAATCGCAATAATGGCGGATCTAGGATTTTGCCTGCTAAGGGGGAGGGGTTTAAAACATTCGTCCGAGCTTCTCTCGGCAGATATAATTTAAAGGGGTGATGTGGCACATGTGTTAGTCCCAGCGTGCCTCTTGGACCCGCCATTGCTATAATTCACTGAAAACTCGTTTTGTAAAAACAAGGTACAATTAGTATATAAAACAAGTATCTTTTAAGTACGTGTACATGTACATTTGTAGGTTGCATAAACTAAACGTGAGATAATTTATGGAAAATGCACAGCAGAATTACCGATCAAAATCACCTGACCACAATAAACGAATGCAAGCTGCCATCGACCATCTGCTAAAAAAAGAAAATAAAGAAATTATCTGTAGACGTGGCATCTGCCGGTCTAATCAGCAGATCTACATCTTTCATAGCGTGGAAAAGCGATTACATGGGAAAATATGACAAGGATGAATAATATTAGCCAATGTCTGCTAAGGTGAAAAAAAAATATTTTTTTCATCATTTTGGAGAAAATAAAGAGACCAATGCATTCTGCTGTTATTAACAGCGATAAGCTAAAGAAAGGAATGAAAGAAAAACGGCATTTTCTTCAACAAAAGCCTAATGATTACAGAAAAGGCGGGGGGGGGATAATTAAAATAACGGCTTTCTGGAATGTAGCGCCTGATTGCAATTACCTGGCTCAATAGATCAAACAGTTTGGCATCTGAATTCAACTGCTTTGTAGGAGAAATATTCAAAACAAATCAAAAACAGAGGACTTAATGAGAAAAAAGAAAGAAAGCATTTACCTGCTTCAAACAGTGCTAACAGAAAGGACTGACAGAAGTATGAACTTTGAAGATGGAAGTGTTTGAAGAGAGTTAGGAAAGAAATGTCAGGAAAGATCTGCAGCAGGTTGGGAATGCTATACATAAGCAAAATATGAAAACTTCATGCAATTAATGAGTCCAAACAAGTAATTACACCATTAGGCAGTACCAATTACATTCTTCGTTGTTAGAACTTATAATAGGTCTTATTAGCTGAAAGTTAAGGTGCAAATGAGGAGGATAAGTCGTGGGCAAATTATTATCCTTACGTATGGTTTCAAACATCGATCGGACCGTTCAATAAGTCTCACCTTTTTAATGAAAAACGGCATATTATAGTTTGCCCCTCCCGCCAACTGAAACCCCCACTGCGTCTGATTTAGGTGCCTCCGAAGCTGTACCTTGTATACGTCTCCCTGAGTCATGGTTAGTCTCCTGTTTGAAGTTTCTTCATCAACTCCCTGGTGCAAGGAGGCATACGAATATTGCCAACTGGTTCGTTTTTCTCTTGGCACACACACTGATATCCCAAGATAATAATCCTTGCAGGGGATATAACTATCTCAATATCTATCAAGATATATAACGTTGTTACTGATATTCCGTGTGCCCGGAAATCGGCCAAGGTTTGCTTATTATGATGAAGCCCAGCTCAGAGCGAAAAGCGATCATGCAATAAGACAGACCTACGCTGAGATGAGCATCTCTGTTTTCTAGATTTACATGTACAAGTCAGACAAGATCTACAAGCTATTGGTATGCGAAAGATTCAGAAGAAACTTGTGCAAGAATAGTGTACTTTGATACGGTAAATCACTAAAAGGTTTTTCAAATATGTCATCGAGTTACAATTGGTTGAATATTTTGGCACGCCCAGTAGCTTGTTAGCGAATACAAGCCCGCTACGAGGGAACGTGCTGCTCGTGATTACTACATTAACTTTAACTATAACCCCATTCGCATGAACGCAGGGCTCTTGAGTAAAGGTTAAGCAGACGACCTCTCCTCGAAATGCCGCTGATTCCGAGGAACGTGGGCGAATAAACACAACTTGAAGTTGACATTGCCATAGATCAAACCAAGCTTCAGCGAAGGTGTATTTTTAGATACACTTTGAGGTGTTTACACCTGGATTGCAAATAACCAGGGCAGTGGAAATATAGGGACATATAAAATATATTATGGAAGAGAGGCAATCTGGGGAATGAATGATGAAAAGGTTAGAAAAAAACAAGATAGATGAATCGAAATGTTATGAAGCAAAGGTTATATATATAGTGATGCATACGTGTGGATTGCTGTTATGTAATTAAATGAATAAACAAGAGTTGCGAGACTCTCTCTCTTCCAAAGAGAGAAAGAGAGAGAGAAAAAGAGGGAAATCTCGACATCCAACTGACACTAACGTTTTCGATTAGAGTACAAGTTTACAGTTCTGACGAAGCTACTCGTCTTCCAAAAATTAACAAGCACACTGTATTGCTTCTCAGTTACTCAATACAACATTGATAACTACCCGTTAACCGTCTTCGCTCAGGTAGATACGCACTTTAAAATCGTTAATGTGAATCATCTTCTCATTTTCGAGAAATATCCACCTACAGAAATGTACAGACTATTCTAATTAACTCCCGTAAATCTAAACTGTCTGTATCTTTTTCTGAGATATTTTCGGCCCAGCCCTTTTAGTATGGGCAATATGTCTAGAATAACGCGTACGGAAAGTATGTTGAGTATGAATATATAGGATAAGTCACATTGTATTATTACAGGTAGAATGACATTATCAATTCTTTTTGATCCAGGCCTCCGTTGTGGTTTGCTCCCCATATATATATATATATATATATATATATATATATATATTACGTTACTTGGATCGCCTTATACAACACTCAATCCACCTTGTTTCGAATTAATCGCTGATTCCTTCACTTCCAAAAATGACATGAAAGGGTGGTCGTATAGTGTAAAGATTGGGTATTCGAAAACTTACAAGTTTTATACATATTTTACTTCTTTTACATACACCCAGAGAACATCCAAGAGGGGTCCTCAATAATTTATTTCATCACTCTGGATAATGAACTGGGCCTTACTCCGCCCAACTGAAGGTAGTTAACTGGCGAGGATGAACTTGTTTTCGCACAAATATTTCCGGCGCACAAGAGTTTGAGCCAACGTAAACACGCCACACCCTTGATATATGTGTCTTCTCAGAGGAACGGAGGATTATATACAGAACAAGTTAAGAACCATTTCCTAACACATGAAATCAACCTGTATATTCCTGTAAAATCATTCACAGTTTGCAAATGTTTCAAATCCTTTAACAAAAGTAAAATGTTCGTTTGCTGGATAAATGTAGAAAGAGAATATCACGCAAAACGTAACAGACATACAATAAATTTTTTTCTTACCTTTTGGATGTAAAGTGGTAACCCAAACTCCACTCCCCCTTGCATCCGGAATCCCCAGGGGTGGTGGGTCTGTTTGCGGCGGAGACGGACCTCTGAAACTCCCGGTGGGTACTGTACATGTGACATGGCGACTAAAAAACCACTTTCTTCTGGTTACGAATACCAAATTGAAAATACTTTGTTCCTAGATGTTCAGTAGAGTTATTTGAATCCTCCTAGCTTGAAGAGCCGGAGACGGAGAGGAATTTAACAATCTTCTCAAAGTTGATGCCCTCTGAAATGTAGGCTATGCACCTCTTGGTTCTCAGCACAAAGACGAAGACTCCGTATTAAATGCCGGGAGAGATCAGGCACCTTTACCTGGATTAAAGATAATTTAAAAGCTGCGATCACCCGTCTTTTCCTATTTCAGCTCAGGTCAGCTAAAGTAACATTTAACAGCGGAGTGAAACAAAAATTTACGAAAGTGACGAAGGTACTTGGAGCAGAAAGAACATGTGTTGGTCGAAACTTAAATGCCAACTTTTGTAAATGTTTACTATATGTGATTAAAAGCAGCAATGACATATAATTGAGTTGGAGGCCGCAAAATGCACCAACCACAGTAAACCAGTAAGTAACGCTTCATATCCGACCTGAATAAAACGGCTATACTTCAAATATCACAAGTAAACAACCGAAATCAGTTTTGCCAATTATTTTCATTTACGTCTTGTGTATTATTTTATGTATTTCGTTTGTTATCAGGTATTTTTCCATTAATTGTTAGAAACAAGATAAATTGAGTAAGTCAGAAGGTGATAGAAAACAGAATATGGCTCTACCTGTACAAGTCCGCTTCTATCCACAGCTTCTCTCCGAAGACTTCTTATTACTTTCCGAAAATTAAATCAGATCGGCGCATGGGTGGAAAGTCTTTTGGCAAAGAGTTTGAAAATGTTAGCTATTGCAAGCAGGTGAACGGAGAAGAGGAACTGTTATTAGTCACTTGGAATGAGTTAGACCTCGTTATCCCGCTGATGAATGTTCGGGAAAAATAAATTAACCACCGGGAAGGATTCAGGGGAATTTTCTAGTGATTTTCTAGCTTGTTTTTTGTAACCAGTATGGCCAAGATCTTTGCAAAACTGATTCTAAAGAGCCCCATTCATTTAACTTAGATTTTGTTTATCATGCAGTTGTATCTATTACAGGTTTAAAAAGGAATAACAATAGGATAGGGCATTTCACCTGTATTCTCCTTAGCCTGGTCTACGATCTCCTCTGTTACTAAGTATTAGTATACTAGTAGACATTAGCTCCAATACCTTTTTGTGTAGGGGATTACATAAATAATCTGGCATTTATATACTCATTAAAATATATATTGAGTTTTTTATCTACAGCGCAGTACTATAGAAAGTATCTCCTAACATTTTGCAAGCCGAAGCCAATTTCCGCCGCAGGTTCTATGAGGTCCATGCTTTAGTTTGTTTTAATGGAATCATCCGAATTAGCCCGAAGTCTCGAGACTTAGTTTTAATTCTACCGAGATTTCGCGTTATTTTGGAGGAGAGTAAGGTCAGAAATAATGACAGATGGAGAGTGCGTTGACGAATACAAGCTGACAGAACTTATCCATGGATATATTTCTGGGTTGTTTACTGATAAGTTGTGTCAAATGACAGTCTACTGCACAACAGTACAAACCTTTATGTTTGGATGTCACTTTTGCTTGCTTTCTACAAAGACATTCCCTGCACGTAGAATTTCACCCTTATCCCAAAGATCAAAAAAAGTTTACCCCACCACACATTTTCATATTTCGTATGACGTCACGCATTGCTTTAGGTCTCTCGTTTTAGTTGCTCGGATGATTCACATTGAATCTAACATATTTCTGTCATTAAAATGCATTGCACGGTGAGGGAGAAATGAATGCACTGTTCATAGAATGAAACAAGATATTGCCTCTGCTTGTTTGAAGTTCTTCAAATTTGCAGTGGTTTTTATCTCACGTTTAGAATATAGAAAAGATAACAGTGATTACCACCAAAGATTGTCATAGTTGCAATAGTGCGGGGCACAACACAAAACATAACCTAACGATAAAATCATTTTAAAACATCAGATATAAAATCTACATTTCATATTTTGTAATTCAAAGGTATCAAAAGTATAACTTTATACTCATTTGCAACAATTGTCATTACAGGATATAGTTGAATGCACACAACAGGGTCGATGTTAGTATCGATTTGGCAGAAATACTGGCCTGTCACAGACAGAGACGACATTTTTGATCATATTTATTATATATTTATTGAGGGTTAAAACAACAACAACAAAGCAATCGGATAGAACAATTCACCCGAGTTGCCCTTACCGAAATTTACTAAAACAAACGGTCTACGGTATCTATATATCATAACTATCAAGGCCAATTACTATTTCATATTTGAATAAATTTGAGAAAAAATGGTCTCATATATATCCATTGAAATATTTTTGTCATTATTACATTTGAATTAATTATATTTTAACCTCACAATACATCGCAGGGACAGAATAAAAGAAAAAAACAGTTGTGGTTTTTACTTAAAGTGGCTTTTTTAAATTGGTACAGTTATTCAAATCAACAAATTTGGTTTATCATTCTTAAAATTCGTCTGAAAAGAATTATAGTGCTTGGTCTTATCATGAAAGTACACTATACAAATGACACTGCAAAACGAATAAAATTGTCTCCCAAAAACGGACTCGGGGGATATTACTTTCATCTTTTCGCTTGACTAATGAGTACATTTAGCCTTTAGTATGGGTGATCATGGTTTCGTGGTTTACAAAATGACGCAAATTTATCTGAATTGTCGGACACAGATTACCAACATGTCATTTTTTTACTAATTCATCTCCGTTCCCTCTCGCCGGGAAATGTTGTCGTCGAGCCTATATAAGTCGGAAACGAGTGCCCACTTCAGTTTAATGCTGTTTAAAAGTGCCAAAAGAAAACAGAAGATAAAAGATGAAGACTGGTGTATGGGAGGTGAGTTTTTAAAGGCTTTTTTAAACGCCTGGGTAGTAAAAATTGAAAAGTGTAAATAATGTTATTTTGATCCTGTTAGAAATGCAATGAAGAAAGGAAAGACAGAAAAAAGTGTATTTTCACAGCTATAAGACACATTAGAAAGAGGCATGAATACGTCTAAAAATTCTATTTGTGTTTTAAAGAAATTGAATTTTGATCCTCAGCTGTCATTTTTGACCTGTTTAAGAAATCTGCTTACGTTAAGCTCATTATTATTTCGCCAGGTTTGCTTGTTCTTGCTGATCATAATATGCTCATGGGATCTAGTCAATGCAGGTAAAACTTCCCCTTAATTATGATCAATGGCGCGTTTTGATTCTTACCCTTATTATTTTGCAAACTTTATTTTCAAATTATGTCGTCAATTTCGTCAAATTTTACTTTTCCTTTGGAAAGTTGACCTTTTCAGTAAAAATGAATAAATAAAAGGAAGACACGTGAAAAAGAAAAAGGAGAGGTTCAAGTTTCCGACGTCTTGAGAGATTAATGCTCGGATGAAACTCTTACACTGTAATACCGTTGCAAATGTGAAGAAAAGAAATCATGCCCATAATTAAAATAACATTTTAACTTAATTCATTGATATACAAGCATAATTATTTCCATACACTGGACGTCAAATATGGCGACTTTGCTTTTCACGGTCAGCTTCAAAAAAGATCGTCTGCTACTACACCAACTGGGCCCAGTATCGTACAGGCATTGGCCGGTACACTCCGGATGACATCCAGCCCGGTTTGTGTACACACATCATCTTTGCCTTCGCCAAGGTGGCCCAGGACCCGGAGACCAAAGAGTATACTCAACTCCTTAACTTTGAGTGGAACGACCTGGGTAAGTAAATCTTCCAATTAATGCTATTGCTGCCATAAAGGAGGTACGTTTAACGAGAATCATAAAAAAATTACATGAAAATAAACATATAATATTTATATATGATAATAACAAAGGTGAGTTTCCAAATATTTATATCTAGCATTTTTTTATATCTAAAGATATAAAACCAGTTCAAGTGAATTTAAACTGCTTGGTGTTGTTCGAAATACTCTCTTTTTTAAATCAAGTTATGCTAATATTTTCTGTTTGCCATAGCCATGTACAAGAAGGTGACAGCTCTTAAGTCCCCCGGGGTCAAAGTTCTCCTGGCCGTAGGGGGTTGGACTCACGGAGTGTGGTTATTCAATCAAATGGCAAGCAAGAAAACAACCAGAAAAACATTTATTAAAAACGCAATCGCTTTTCTCCGTAAGCACAATTTTGATGGTCTCGATTACGACTGGGAGTATCCGAAAGGTGACTCAAAAGAGAAATTTGCGGCGTTAGTTCAGGTAAAAATTATGTTATGGGTAACTTAGAGAAAAAAAATTAAAGTAAAATCTGGTTTCAAAATGTATTGGCCGGTATACGCTATGACAATATTGATTAACGGTCAATTTGAGTCAATAAGCTTATTTGAGATAAATGTAACATTGATAAAAATAGTAATGTTGATATCTTGTTAGTTGTTACTGTATAATGCATGGAAAAAACGGACAACAAATATATAGTAAGTATCAGTTCTGAAGGAAACCGCAGAAATATAAGTCATGTTCATCAACTTTGTCGAAATACCAAGATGACTTTTTCTGCAGGAAACTCGCAAGTTCTTCGAAGAGGAAGGCCAAAACCAGAATAAAGAGCGACTTTTAGTCAGCGCTGCCATTGCGCCTTTGTTAGATGTAATAGATGATGGATACGATATACCGCTTTTGGCAGAGTAAGATTCCCCCTGTTTTTATTTTGCAGTTGTTATTTTTAAAAAAAGTATGAAGTGGTATAACTTGATCCAATAACGATTCAATGATGCCAAAAAATTATAAAAAATGGAAAATGTACTCACGCCCGAACAGGGACTCGAACCCTGGACCCTCAGATAACTTGGTCATCCGTAAAAGTCTGATGCTCTACCGACTGAGCTATCCGGGCGACATGCAGGGTAAAGGGTTAAAGATTTAATATAAATAAAACTACTGCTGGCCTCCTTTTAAAAGGATTTAACTTTAATTTTGGTCATTATAAACATAATATTTTGTAAGATCCTTTTGTCCATTGAGTTCAAGCCTTTTATCAACTAATTAGACGCACACAAAAGCCTAAATTTCGATTTTACACTGTGTGTACGAGATCTCGTTAAAGAAACGTGACTTACACCCGGATTATCGTTCTCTTAGTTTCTTAGTTGCGTTTCATTCATAATTCAATAATATTATTATGTACTAAGCCCTGCTCATTCATGACTTGACATGGTTCCTCTCAACTCGTGAATTGTTATCTGTTTGATATTTTGTGACACACTGAAATAAGTTGTCATAACGGGCACCTTCTGTGTTCGTAGGCTTCTGTACTTGTAGGCCTATTGCAGGTAGGCCTACATGTAGGCCTAGGCTACTGTAGATGAACATTTCGAAAAATCTGTCCACCTATATTGGTCAATTAACCACGGAATTCCAGTACCTGCCTAGCCAGTTTTAGCTCTGCATATTCTCAAACGAATTGTCTGACGGCTTTGATTTAAGGGCGCTTATCGTTTGCTGTCGGGGAATCTGTAGGCTATTAATTTAATAGCCTACGTGTAGGGCCTACCTCAGTTTCAATGAAATAAATTTCCAAATTACGGTGTAGGCCTATATGTATGTGTCACAAGGTCCTATATACTGGGTATGGGGTCCCTAGATCTACTATATCTCCTTTGCCTCTGAGTCTTTTTATTTATTTTTGTATTGTAGGCCTATCATGGCCTACGAATATAGTCAATTATAGGCCTACAGTTTATTCAGACATTGATATATAGATAAATGAAATTCACGTATAACGGAAATTGGATTGCTATTCGGGTAAAGTGAATAAAGTATAAGAAAACAATATAATTTCTAAGATATAGTTGCCAAAAATTCTATTTTTTATTATTGAAATAAGTGACAGCAGAAGGCCTAAAAAGACTAAAAACTCTTTAAAAACCTTTTGGATCCTTTAAAACTTAAAAGTCTACAGTTACTCGGAAAGAAAAGAATGTCCGACCACTAGGTAAAATTCAGCCGTAAATCCCGTAAATCATCCTAAAATATACATGTAGGCGATACCTGTAACCTATTCTTCGGGTAGCCTACTTGAAGGCAAGCAATAGGCTACCGAGGTATGCCAAGCCTACCTGTGCCTCGAACACAATTGTCATCCATTACATTTATTTAACTAATTCCATTTTTATCGTAAGATAACATTTTAAACGAAAGTTGAAATATATTTTTTATTTATTTTTCTTTTTTGCAATGCTCTTTTCCCAAAAGGAAAGGACAAAAAGGTGAAGATGCACAATACGCCCATCTTTTCAAATTGTTTTATGGCTTTATTGCAATTGGTTTTGACTTTGTTCTTTTTTTTAACAGGAACCTCGACTTCATCAATGTTATGGCGTACGACTTGCATAGCCATCGTCATTTGAGCCATCACAGTCCAATGGACAAACAGGTAGGTCTATGCTTCTGGCAGTATCGTAGCCTAATTAGTGATTATACAACGCCCGTCAGCCTCTTTAAGACACTGATAACTTGTTATTAAAATTCGGCAACTCTGACATAATTCATTTTTATTTTTGATTTTAAATTTATTTCTGCTAACCACTCCTCCTCTCTCACTCTTTTTATTTGTCTTAGTAGTTACTTTACAATAAAAAAAACTTAAAAAATAAACCGCAGCTTCATTTTGCAGAGAGAAACGATCAAACATCTCCAATCCCTCGGGGCACCTGCAAGCAAGTTGATCCTCGGAATCGCGACATATGGCCGCTCAAACACTTTGTCAGGCAGCAGCCTCCACGGCATGGGAGATGTGGTCACAGGCGCGGGCAAACCAGGCGTCTTCACCAAGCAGGGCGGCATACTGGCCTACTACGAGGTAAACTTCGTACATGATTTATTTTTCTGTTCGTATAAGTGAACTATAGTTTTCCTTTGTTTGATTTAATTTCAGAAAAATTTTACTTTGATTTGATTTGTAAATACAGCTGGCAAAAGCATTATGTGCGTAGACTTGTGCACGGACATGAGCACTGTTCACAGCCCAATCGAAGACCAAACTGCACTTTGCCCACTGGTATACGTCTTATCATTAAATACATACTTCCATATAAGGTTTGTACCTATCGTAAAGACAGTGACTGGCAAGAGAAGGTCCATCCCACGCAGCAGGTGCCCTATGGTTGGCTTGGGTACCAATGGGTGGGGTTTGATGACGTCACAAGTGTGGGAAGAAAGGTAAGAGTTACCTGATAAACCACGTAAGTGATTATTGTACGTGGTGATGTAAGTTTCCATTAATCGGTTACTATGATAACTTGTATCACTCAAGCATAATATGTCTTTGTTTGTTAAACAGGTCATTGTTTTAGCGTTTTCGTGATGACTTCCATGTCATAATCAAAATTATGATTTTTTTCATATACTGAAACGGATACCAAACTGCTCTGTCTTCTTTTTGCTAAGACCAGTAATACATGTAGTGATTTCCCACAAGCTTATGGGACTTCTCTAAAGAGCTTTTTGTGATTGCTTCATGTTTATACACTAACCTGTAATTTTTATTCATCTTTTAATGACTAAATAAATTTATGTATGAATTTATTAATAAAATCATATTCTACTAAAAGTCACATTTGTCTTAAAAAAAAAAAAAAAACAGAAACGTAAGGCAGTGTTTCGTTTCGTTACAGGCAAATTATATATGCACTGAGCAGCTTGGTGGGGTCATGATTTGGACGCTGGACTTCGACGACTTTACTGGGGGAACTTGTGGGGAGGGAAAGTACCCTCTGGTTCGCGCGGCCAAGGATGTCCTCAGTAAGCCAAGCTGCTTTGAAGAGACCGAGGCCGGCGGAAAATTGTGATGTAACGTTTTGAAAAGTTGCACAAAACCATGAGTGAGACTAAAAAGGCGCTATGTATAACTTTGAAAAACATAAGAAAAAGACAGAGAAGTGTTAAACGCCATATCTGAATAGTTACTATTACTCGACATTAATTTAGATTGTAATTATCTCTCGATATGAATTTGAAAAGCGCGGTCACTTGTCACAGCTTCAACGTTGGAAAAAAGGAAAGGAAAGAATTGTGTTTGGTGAGAGGCACAGCCAGATAAACACAACCACCCCGTACTAGCGTAGTTTCTTGTGCCCTAGCTGGTTTCAACGACGCGTTTTCTAAATAAGAAATCTTCAGTCTTTTTACGTAAAAGTAAATTTTCAAGATTTGCATTTGCGAAAAGTAAACAAAAGTTTTCTTAAATAGTTGTTTTGTTCAAATTTCCAAAACTAAGTGCCGGATTTGAACTACAAGGATTTCCTCATGTGCTTAAAACTGAAATCGAACTTGGAAGATGATGCACAATAGCAGCAAGAGGTATATGTACCTACATGTACCTACATGGAAGAACTTTTAAAAACTCGAAACCTTACCTGGCTGGCCTGTGCGATATAATTTTCATAAGAAATTGCTTGTAATGGTATACATTTGCAAGCATTCAGTAAAGTTTTTTTTAATTCTGAGAAACATGTAATTGTGATGTTTCCTGGCCTCTGTTTTTAATGTACAATTTTTATGTGAAGTTAAACAAAAATTAAATTATCATTACCTTTTCTTATGTCTTCATGCGTCTTAGAAAGATGTAAAATGAGTTTTCACTATAATATTAATAAATATGTCTCTGTCTAATTCTATGCATTTTTCTTAATTATGTCAGGCGAGAATTTTTGCACAGAATGACGATAGAAAGATATTTTATTTATTTTTATCAGTTTAAAATAAAGTCCACTATTCTATATTCATTATTTCTCATAAGGAAAACGCGTGAAGGTATATCTGCCTTCGTACGGGCGCCCACCAAATACCCCGCTAATAGACCGGCTTACTGGAAGTAATTGCTTCGATTCATTTCCAAATTGTGCTTTTTGTTGCCAAAGTTTATCAAAGCGTGTTTTGAAAATGTTTTCTCAAAAGATAAAGAAAGGGTGTCTTGTTTACGCCGTTAAAAACATATGCTATCTTTCAGTTGAGTTTGCCGTACAAATTAGTGGCACGCTGTATCATTGATCGCGTTTGGAAGCTTGGAAACACAAACAGTCCTAGGTTAACAATGTTGTCATTGTCCTCCGCTTAAATCAGCAAACCGATTGAAAACCAAACAAAATGGGCGCTTTTGTTATACACTTGGTTGAACTGAACTAAACCTTAAGCATTGAACAATATCATTTTGGAATCTGAGAAGAAAAGGGAACACAGATTGTAACTTTATCGCACCAACAGAGACGCAGCAAGAGTGACACATGGCGTTAAGGTAGGCCACCGTCGCGAGCAGGTAATACCTGCACTGAATAGATTATCATCACTCGTTTTACGACAGATTTATATTCTCCGAAGGTGTTAGATACCATAGTCTCCATAGCGCACATTAGGCCTATCGTAAGTCGTTATCCTTCGAATCCTTTACAGCCACCGTTTGATGTAGTCTGACCGGGAGACACTGGACCCTTATTTTCAAATGAAAGGTAGGGTCAAAATCTTTTCACTTTTTGGAAAATCCTATGAATCTAGATAACTCCTTTAAAACATCCACTTCAAAATTCTTGAGTGCCAACCTAGCGACCTATGCAATTTGATCTGTCCTTGGTGTATTTGTCAATGTATTAGCCCCCAAACGAAACTGATGGCACTGTGGATTATTGCGTTTGTTTTGGCCGTGTATTAGCTTGGTAACTATTTAACATGCCACTGGTAGAAGTAGGTGCTGTCTTTCTGTAGAGCTAATTAATGCTTTATTCATGGTTAGACAGAAACTGGGGTGGTAACTAGGGGGTTTGTCTATTAAAGCTGGCATTACTGCCAGCTTCATTATCATAAGTTGAACGAGAGCAGTGGGACGGATGGTTTTAACGGGAAGATCACAATTTGAAGGTACTTATAGTTATCCTTCTCGTGACACGAGTCTTAAGGCTCTGCAACACCTAGCCTTGGACCTAAATAGAGAAGCTCTATTTAGGTCCAAGACCTAGCGTAAAGAAACATGAGTATATTAAGTGACATCCAACTTTGATCGTATGAAATCACCGCTTCCATCATACTAAAAAGAATATGTAATAGCTAGTCTAAGCGTAAAAAATAGTTTTTGAACATGCTCAAAACATTTTATCTCCCTCTGGTTTTATATCCGACAACGTTTGCCTGCGTACTCAGGACGTATACGGCGTAAGTCTATCGAACCTCTCGCTTTTTTCTGCTTATAATATGGGTGGTTTTTCTTATACGTAAGAGCTATATGCTAGGTGTGACAGTACCTTTACAGGGGGTNTTTCTATTTTTTTCTTTTTTGCAATGCTCTTTTCCCAAAAGGAAAGGACAAAAGGGTGAAGATGCACAATACGCCCATCTTTTCAAATTGTTTTATGGCTTTATTGCAATTGGTTTTGACTTTCTTCTTTTTTTGAACAGGAACCTCGACTTCATCAATGTCATGGCGTACGACTTGCATAGCCATCGTCATTTGAGCCATCACAGTCCAATGGACAAACAGGTAGGTCTATGCTTCTGGCAGTATCGTAGCCTAATTAGTGATTATACAACGCCCGTCAGCCTCTTTAAGACACTGATAACTTGTTATTAAAATTCGGCAACTCTGACATAATTCATTTTTATTTTTGATTTTAAATTTATTTCTGCTAACCACCCCTCCTCTCTCACTCTTTTTACTTGTCTTAGTAGTTAGGCCTACTTTACAATAAAAAAAACTTAAAAAATAAACCGCAGCTTCATTTTGCAGAGAGAAACGATCAAACATCTCCAATCCCTCGGGGCACCTGCAAGCAAGTTGATCCTCGGAATCGCGACATATGGCCGCTCATACACTATGTCAGGCAGCAGCCTCCACGGCATGGGGGATGTGGTCACAGGCGCGGGCAAACCAGGCGTCTTCACCAAGCAGGGCGGCATACTGGCCTTTTACGAGGTAAACTTCGTACATGATTTATTTTTCTGTTCGTTTAAGTGAACTATAGTTTTCCTTTGTTTGATTAAATTTCAGAAAAATTTTACTTTGATTTGATTTGTAAATACGGTCATTGACAGCTGGCAAAAGCATTATGTGCGTAGACCTGTGCACGGGCACGAGCACTTTTCACAGCCCATTGAAAAACCAAACTGCACTTTGCCTACTGGTATACGTCTTATCATTAAATACATACTTCCATATAAGGTTTGTACCTATCGTAAAGACAGTGACTGGCAAGAGGAGGTCCATCCCACGCAGCAGGTGCCCTATGGTTGGCTTGGGTACCAATGGGTGGGGTTTGATGACGTCACAAGTGTGGGAGGAAAGGTAAGAGTTACCTGATAGGGCCTAAATCACGGCAGTGATTATTGTACGTGGTGATGTAAGTTTCCATTAATCTGTAACTATGATAACTTGTATCACTCAATCAAAATATGTTTTTGTTTGTTTAAAAGGTCATTGTTTTAGCATGTTAGTGGTGACTTCCATGTCATCATCAAATTACAAGTATTTTCATATACTGAAACGGATACCAAACTGGCAAGGTTTGGCTTCTTTTTGTTAACACCATTGATTTAATTCGCACAAGCTTATGGGACTTCTCTTAAGAGCTTTTTGTAATTGCTTTATGTTTATACCCTAACCTGTAATTTTATTAATCTTTTAATGACTCAGTAAATTAATGAATGAATTTATAAATCAAATCATATTCTACTAAAAGTTACATTTGTCTTTAAAAAAAAAACAAAAAACAGAAACGTAAAGTAGTGTTTCGTCTTGTTCCAGGCAAATTATATATGCACAGAGCAGCTTGGCGGGGTCATGATTTGGACACTGGACTTCGACGACTTTACTGGGGGATCTTGTGGTGAGGGAAAGTACCCTCTGGTTCGCGCGGCCAAGGATGTCCTCAGTAAGCCAAGCTGCTCTGAAGAGACCGAGGACGGCGAAAAATTGTGATGTAACGTTTTGAAAAGTTGCACAAAACCATGAGTGAGACTAAAAAGGCGCTATGTAAAACTTGGAAAAACATAAGAAAAAGACAGAGAAGTGTTGAACGCCATATCTGAATCGTTACTATTACTCGACATTGATTTAGATTGTAATTATCTCTCGATATGAATTTAAAAAGCGCGGTCACATACCACAGCTTTAACGTTGGAAAAAAGGAAAGAAAAGAATTGTGTTTGGTGAGAGGCACAGCCAGATAAATACAACCACCCCGTACTAGCGTAGTTTCTTGCGCCCTAGCTGGTTTCAACGATGCGTTTTCTAAATAAGAAATCTTCAGTCTTTTTACGCGTGCAAAAGTAAAAATTTCAAGATTTGCGAAAAGTAAACAAAAGTTTTCTTAAATTGAAACATGTAATTATGATGTTTCATGCCTCTGTTTTTAATGTGCAATTTTTATGTGAAGTTAAACAAAAATTTAATTATCATTACCTTTTCTTATGTCTTCATGCGCCTTAGAAAGATGTGAACTGAGTTTTCACTAGATATTAATAAATATGTCTCTGTCTAATTCTATGCACTTTTCTTAATTATGTCCGGCGAGAATTTTTGCACAGAAGGACGTCATCACTCAAAAGAAAGATATTTTATTGATTTTATCAGTTTAAAATAAAGTTCATTATTCTATTCTTTTTTCTAATAAGGAAAACGCGTGAAGGTATATCTGCCTTCGTACGGGCGCCCACCAAATACCCCGCTAACAGACCGGCTTGCTAAAAGTAATTGGTTCAATACATTTCCAAATTATGCTTTTTGTTGCCAAAGTTTATCGAAGCGTGTTTTGAAAATGTTTTCTCAAAAGATAAAGAAAGGCTGTCTTGTTTACGCCGTTAAAAACATATGCTATCTTTCAGTTGAGTTTGCCGTACAAATTAGTGGCACGCTGTATCATTGATCGCGTTTGGAAGCTTGGAAACACAAACAGTCCTAGGTTAACAATGTTGTCATTGTCCTCCGCTTAAATCAGCAAACCGATTGAAAACCAAAACGAAATGGGCGCTTTTGTTATACACTTGGTTGAACTGAACTAAACCTTAAGCATTGAACAATATCAGTTTGGAATCTGAGAAGAAAAGGGAACACAGATTGTAACTTTATCGCACCAACAGAGACGCAGCAAGAGTGACACATGGCGTTAAGGTAGGCCACCGTCGCGAGCAGGTAATACCTGCACTGAATGGATTATCATCACTCGTTTTACAACAGATTTATATTCTCCGAAGGTGTTAGATACCATAGTCTCCATAGCGCACATTAGGCCTATCGTAAGTCGTTATCCTTCGAATCCTTTACAGCCACCGTTTGATGTAGTCTGACCGGGAGACACTTATTTTTAAATGAAGGTATGGCCAAAATCTTTTCACTTTTTTTGAAAATCCTATGAATCTATAGATAACTCCTTTAAAACATCCACTTCAAAATTCTTGAGTGCCAACCTAGCGACCTATGCAATTTGATCTGTCCTTGGTGTGTTTGTCAATGTATTAGCCCCCAAACGAAACTGATGGCACTGTGGATTATTGCGTTTGTTTTGGCCGTGTATTAGCTTGGTAACTATTTAACATGCCACTGGTAGAAATAGGTGCTGTCTTTCTGTAGAGCTTATTAATGCTTTATTCATGGTTAGACAGAAACTGGGGTGGTAACTAGGGGGTTTGTCTATTAAAGCTTGTATTACTGCCAGCTTCATTATCATAAGGTGAACGAGAGCAGTGGGACGGATGGTTTTAACGGGAAGATCACAATTTGAAGGTACTTATAGTTATCCTTCTCGTGACACGAGTCTTAAGGCTCTGCCGCACACCTAGCGTAAAGAAACATAGGAGTATCCTAAGTGACATCCAACTTTGATCGTATGAAATCACCGCTTCCATCATATTAAAAAGGATATGTAATTAGCTAGTCTAAGCGTAAAAAGTTGTTTTTGAACATGCTCAAAACATTTTATCTCCCTCTGGTTTTATATCCGACAACGTTTGCCTGCGTACTCAGGACGTATACGGCGTAAGTCTATCGAACCTCTCGCTTTTGTCTGCTTATAATATGGGTGGTTTTTCTTATACGTAAGAGCTATATGCTAGGTGTGACAGTACCTTTACAGGGGGTTTACATAACGACAGGCGAAGGAACAGAAGAAGAGGGTAGCTATTCTCTGCCGACTGCAGCCCTAGGACTTTAAAGTGGACCCATTTAGACTTTTTTAGAAATGGTGTCTGCAACTGTGCTTTTTGAGAGTAAAAGTTTTAAGGAATGAAATCATTTACTTCAAAAGGATATACTTTGTTTTTAATTTCAAGTTTATCCAATGCATTCAGGTCTGACACATAGAAACCAAAATGAAGTACAGACATGTATTTCATATCTGCTGTAAGCCCTTTATACGCTTTGTAGTAATAATAATAACAGCGATGATAATTAGAATAATATTAATATTTTATTATTATCATAATCTTTAGATAGCACATTCCATTTTCACTTAATTCAGTGCACTTTACAATTAAGATATAAAATATCCTCAAAGCTTATATGAATGAAATACAGACTTACTATAAAAAAGAATAATAAATTCTAGCCTACAGGCTGGTTATGGTGAAAAGGGTACGACTACTGCTTGATTTATATATTGGTGGGCTGTGAGTACCACATGCATTGTATGTACAGAAAAGGCTCCAGAAGAAAATCGTTGCAGTGAAATCTCATTTTGCTTTCATTGTTGACATACGCTAAATGGTGGGGATTAATATTGATTGAATAGCAATTTTTCATTAGAAGTATGGCATTTAATATGGCCTAAAGTTGTAAAGGACGTGCTTTAGATACAAAACATATGAATGATTAATTTGGTTTCCTTGCGTACAAGCAGGGGTATTAACTCCTCATTCCAGACAGAGTGTAATGAAAAGCTCTTCAATAAAACTTCACGACTTATTTTACCTTAATCGGGTTATTGAGATAAGAATGTCTTGAATACTCTATCACAGTATTTTTTGTATTTTATGGACTTCTTTAATGTCTCTCCTGTAAAAAAATTATATAGAAATGCCACTCAAAACAATGCAATAATGCATTAATCTATATTTTTTATTTGCAGATAGCCTTATGACCTCTCACTTGGAAAATCCAGGCGCCAAAACAAGCCTTATGATGTGAGGGCCAAAAAAAAAAAAAAAAAAAAAAAAAAGACATCCAAAAATGGGACTAGACAAAGCATTATTTCACGAAAATGTCCCAGGGGACCTCATTTGCGGTATTTGTCGGCAGGTTTTTGACGACCCAGTGTCTAATGTATGTCCACACGTTTTTTGTTTGAAATGTATTTCCCAACGTCTGCGCCATAATTCGTCTCGCGTCTGTCCAGTGTGCCATAAGCGCTTAAAGGCTGCTCCAGCATCGCCGCCGAAAGAATTAGTTGACAGAATTCTTACTATGAAAATTAACTGCACGAGCAAATGTGGAGAAGTGTTTGAGTTACGCGAGCTTAAAGGCCATTTGAATTCCATTTGTCTAAATGCCTTGGTTGATTGTGACTATGAGGAGAAAGGGTGTAAAGAAAAAATGTTACGTAAAAATCTCCCGGAACACCTGAAACAATGTCTTTATAGAAAAACGACCTGCGAAGCCTGTGGTTATAAGTGCCTGGTCAAGGATTTGGCAACACATCAACATAAGAAGAAATGCTTGCAGATTAAACTGAAACAGGACATAATTTCTAGCGTTCGGAATGCGAACAAAGAAATAAAACATCACTGTAAATCACTACGAGACGCCCGTTATCATTTAAAGCAAGAGGAGCGCAAGGAGAGACAAGCGCGGCGACAATCTCGATTGAATTCTGCCGCTTCCTACAGATCAGCAACAGGTTCTCTCATGAGCAGCCGTAAAAACTACGCAAACGGTAGGGGAAATTACGACGACGTTACGTCCTCGACATCAAGAGTGACCAGTGGCTATAGCGTGCGCTCATACGCCAGCTCTAAACCTCCACTTCTTGGTCCTAGGGGGTCCATCTCCGGAGGGTCAAAGTTTTTGCCTGCTGGCACAGGTGATACAAGCGTAGTGGGCGTAGAAAGGGGCGCGGCCCGTCAAATGACGCCACGCGCACCTCACCCTTCCCGAAATGAAGACCTGTCCCCTAGAGAAAGGCTGTGGTGTCTACGGTGCGACAAGCCGTTCTTAATGAAGAGCAACCATAGTTCGGCCTGTTCTTTTCACAGAGGGGTAAGTTAACACGAAAATTTACCCCGAATAATTTTTATTACGACTTAATGTTTCACCTATAAGAATCTCATTGTCATACTGTTATTTCCAACCAAACTCCTCATTGTGTATATAAATTATTTTAAGAGTTGTAAAACCCGATTAAAAGTCAGTCGTTCATCAAGGTAAAATTAATTCATGAGGCAGCTGTTTTCGAACTTTCTTCAATGATATCTGATGTGGAAATTTTGACCTTTTATTTCATTTTCCAATTCCTTTGATTCTACCAAACAGCCGGTAAGTACTCCTTATTCCAAATGAATTTTGTAATTTTTAATCGTAGAAGATTGCTAGATTGTTATCAGCACATCCTCGTGACTCGATTATAACTTTATCTTTTAAAATGTTAGAACTGCCATATGAAAATACTGGTAACGGGATGGGATTTGGCAAAAATTCTGTAATCAGATTGTCTGTCCACATGTATTGAATTAATTTGCAAAATGAACAGTGCCGCGAGCCGGGATTGAACCAGCGACCTTCAGATAACTGGTGATATCTTATCTTATGCTACATAAGCCGACTTCAGTCTGACGCTCTCCCAACTGAGCTATCGCGGCCGTCCTTCCTCTGTTTTGTTAGTATTTATTTATTATATATTTTACAAGTAAAATTAACATTAAAATTGAATCAAAATTGGTCACGTTTAAAACTTCAAATACTCCGTTGTTATTTCATTATATTTTATTGTAACTATATATGTCATTCTTTATAGATGGTTTTTGTAATATAATTCTCACTCTTATTTTCATCCCATTGCTATTGTCGGCTGATTAATTTTACAGATGGTGAGTGAAGTCTTTGAACTGCTTAAACGATAAAGCAATTAAGCTCTTAAATATTGTTCACTTTTTTGTTTATAGTTTGCTTAGTATACTCTCACTAAACGCGTTAATGAAGAATACTTAAAATTTCAGATGCATAGATCGAGGAAGGGCCTATTTATTTCCTTGCAAAGAATAATATGAAACTAATTTTTTGAAAATGGCAAATGCACCTATAAATTTTTGTTTAACACGGGTGATAGATAATCATTCAATGAAATTGTTAAACGAGATGATAAATATCGTACATTTAATACTCTTTTATTATTTATTTTCATTGCAATGTCTCACTGTGCGCAGCTGGAGGTAAGTTTTTTTTTAATAAATACCCCTGAAATCTAGTGAATAAGCAGTAATTTTGTTTTCGGAGCCATATTTCTTAAGCTTACAGAGTTATCTCAGTCCAAAGTTTTTAAAAATTAGTTTTACACTACAAAGATGTTTCTCAATAATATAGAAAAAATATTATTTTGGTTATTGCTATTTGATTTGTTATAGCTGCTTTCATGTATAATGATGTATATTACCTTTTCTTTTATTTCCTGCACGGTTCCATCCACTTGCTAATTTAGTTATTTGTAAGTATGTGTTCAATCGACATCGTAACCACTTTTTTCTCAAAGAATCCTTTGCTAAGTTTTAAAAGAATATTTACCTTTAAATAGTAATAACAAATTTAGTAATCCCTTATATGTTAATTGTTACGATCATAACTATTTTTGCACAATTATTCTGAAAGATGTGCATAAATTTACCTCATTTCTTTTTTCTTTCATTTGCCGTTTACTCCTCCTTTAGGGTGTAAGTATTCCATTTCTTTCCCAGACTGAAAAATAAGCAATTAAAGTTATCTTTTTGGATATCGTGTACATTCTAGTTATGTACATAAAATAATTGACATCAAATAGTATAAACCTAAAATGTATCTTTAACTTTATTCAATATGTTATATATTCACCTCAATTGATATTAATAAGGATTATATTTTATTTCCATGTTTGGTCCTTGCCCATTTGACACTGATCAACTTTCATTTAAACAGGGAGTAAGTATGGACATACAATATGTCTGACATCATTTGCATTAAGCCTACGTTTATAATACAAAACGTTTTTTCTATAATGAAATTTATACTCCTGCTCAAATATTAATCACTAGAAAAAATCATTTATTGATTTTTTTGTCAGAAGCCTATATGACGTTCACTTTACTCGATAGATTGCAATTCACATTAACATCACCAGAAGTAAGCAATTTGAATAAACTGAAACTACAGCGATATATTTCCGATTTTTTAAGATGTCCCTCATGTTTTAATGTTCATATAATATATATATTTCACAGATGTGTGAAAGCTGTGGAAGGCTCGACATTCATAAGGGATGCCTAACTGGATACCACATATCAAACGAAGACGACTACATAGAGCGACAGGGAGGGGTTGAGACATTTTGATTTTTGATGGAAGTCAGAAATTTACAATTGGATTTCTCGGAGGACAATTTTTAAATGTTCTTGGGCATTTTGGGCTCTGAATTGACTCTGTGCATCGCTAAGAAAGATAGAATAACCTTCCAATACCTCAAAGTCTGATACCTCGAGAAATTGTGCCATTACAAGGAAAACTGATAAGAAACAGTATCGCAGACAGCATTCTGTATACATTAAAGACGAAATAGTGTCATGCATCTAGTTTTAAATAGAATCATGCATCTTTAATTTTCTCCACAGAGTAATACTGGAGGAAGTTGTGAGAGAGGGACAATGTAACCAGTGTCGATGATACAAATGTTGATTTGTTCAAGAAAAACAATGGTAGAACAGTAAACCAGGTGTTCTTATGTGTATGTTTATCACAGCAGCATCATTAATCTGCACAGAAGTGAAAAAGATTACACAGCTTTGCCGATAAACAAACATAAAGGTAACTGATAGACAAATGTATGAGGGTTTTGGCTTAGCAAAAAAAATATGCCAAGACCTGCATGTTTTTCAATGTTAAAAAGGTCATTTTAAAATGGCTTCTATACCAGATGATTTATGCTTCTATACCAGATGATTTAGTTCAATGAATACATCATTTTACAAGCAAGTTTGTAATAAAAAATATCATAATGCCTCCAACCTGTCTTGTTCTTTTCAAAGAACTTCAATGCCCACAGAAACATTTACGATCGTACTTTAGTTTTAAAAGATCTTGATGATTGTAGTCTTGATTTTCAACACATCTAAGTTCAGTTTTCAATATATTATCATGATCTATAGACTTAAAAATTTGTAAAAATGTTGCTCCTTTCAAGAAGATTGAAGAATATTTGTCATCTGGTCATACATGTATGTTATTGATTAGGATACTGTGAATATTGTGCCAGTGGGGCCTCATTTCTGAATAAGAAAAAAGAGTGAGGTCAGCCTCATATATAATCAAGGTTTAAAAAGGCAATGGCATTCAGGAAGTCGTACTTACCTTTACTTGGTAATATGTAAAATTGCTTACATTATAACTTAAAAAACCGATAAGATAGTATAGTCTTTCAAAGGAGTCAGTAAAAGTTTCGATTTATTTAGTTGTATTAAACTAAGATAAATGGAATTGACTCTCACGTTGGACCTTAAATTTTGATACGTTTCAGCCTTATCACAAGGCCCTCTGCAAATTTAAATGGCCCTCACCGAGTCCCCCAAGTAGCCAGACAGACAGTCGCTAACAACACCCTGTACTGTACTATTCACTGAGGCGCGACGATATCTTGTGTCGGTAGATAAGTGAGTTCATCAGAAAAAGGTGATAAAATTTTAAAAGACTTAAGTCATATTTCTTGCCCTTAGAGCTGGCTGGGGTGACATTTGTATGTCTGTTAAAATGTCACAATTTATTAAATACAAATGTTGTAAATTAATGTGATCTGACACTAAATCCCAAGCTACTTTGGAAGTGAAGAATTTGAATAAAATGTAAACCTCTGATAAATCAAGATCAGATAGAAATGATCAGAATTCCATAACCTTGCATAGTAGTACGTGGAATTGAGGGCATTTGAATGTTATTGCGTCCGGATGCATATATTTAAAATTACGATGTCAGTTTGATGCAATTGCTCGGTCATCTAGCGTAGGACTTTAAGGGATAATAACCCTTCGTATGAGATCTATATTTCACAATAAAAACATTGTGAATAACCCATAGAAATTCAATATATTCTGTTTTACCACAAAAACGGCAGTTATGGCTATTTTTCTGAAATCTGAGCTTGTCTTCAGACCACCTGACCTCCATAGATGGGCTTGGCTATACAAAAAAAACAAACTTTTTAGAAAAAATACCAGGGACTAACTTTGAATGTAAAAATGGATTCATTAACCATTGGTAAGTATGGGGAAATTGTTGTTTACTCCAGGAAAATTCATTTTTTGGCCAAAACAAGGAGTTATTATCCCTTTAAGAAGTCGTTTCGAATAAATGTGCGTCACGCAAATGCTGAAACATTGGCATTTGTCAAAACGATGCACATCACTCAAGCCGTCTATTTTTGTCTGCAGGATATAAGAACCGTTTCAATAAGCTACGACTGTCATTTGATTTGCAGCCTACTGTGTACGAATATCTTTGTTAACAGAAGGTATCGGCTCAAGTCCTACACAAAATGTCTGCGTTGCCTCTACTTTTTCTCTTGGTATTGGGATCGATCTGTTGTAGTCAACATCCCATACTGAATGTTCTTCAGAACGGCATATTTGCAGATACAATAGCTTCTTCCAACAGATTTTTACAAAATCGACTGAGCTCCAGTCCGAATTTGTGGAACCCTGCGGGAAGTACAAAAGACTTTTTAGGGGAGAAGAAATCACTCAGAAAAGCAACTCC